AAGCCATGTCGATAGCCTTTTTGGCCATAGGATGACACCCGACTCCCCGAATTTCCTGATCCATGAACTTAACAATCAATTGAATGAGAATATAACTCACATCTCCATCCTTTTTGAAACTATAAAAACGATTTGAATACTGGAAACTATCACCATGAACGCTTTCAAATTCGCGATGAAAATTTGCCTTTGACCCAACCAAGAACTTACACTCTTTATACCTGGACCAAATGGAATCACGAACTTGAGGGTTCAACTTAACAAATTTAAATTCATCAGGGATCTTATTCATGGTTGAAATTACGCTCTTGAAACTAATCAAATAAAAGAAACAAATGGTTCACTTGGTTACCAACGGAAATTACATAAGAAAAGGCGGCAAAGAAACAGTCATTAAATTCAAATTCAAATTGAAAATGTTACATGTACTTCATGGAAATGTGAATCAAAAAAGTGACCTCACCCGGAAAATAATTATTGAAACAGTTTATAATGACATGAGAATAACTTCGATAAGTGACCCAAACATCAGCGAGTTATATAAACAAATCAACACCAAAGGTATAATAGTGAAAAATCGTCAGGTATTGGTGTTCTCAAGAGACCTACAACCGATCAATGTGAGAACAAATTGCGAAAATGTAGTGGCAGGTCTCCTCAGGAAAGAAAACATCTTAATTATTGGTGTGTACATCAAACCATGGCGAGGAAAACAACTAACGAACCACCAAATCGCGACAATATATCGACTATGTTTGGAAAACATCAACAGTGCGCTTATACTAATGGGCGATTTCAATGCCTCCATGAGATATTGGCAATCTAATAGCACGGGCACCAAAGATGTTAACCTATTTTCACCACTTGTCGACACTCTAATTCGTTTCAACCTAAAACCGATGAATGTAGACCTCGAAACAACATTCATCCGATCAAATAGGGTCATCGATATGATCTTCTATTCACCTCCATTGTTAGTTAGCGACACAGAAAAATTCAGAGACTCTTCCGATCACTGGCTCATCAAGTGTAAAATTGACAAATCGCTAGTGAGGGGGAAAAAACAGAACCACGGGAAATACATGAAGATTGGTTCATGGGACATAACCAGTGACCAAGACCTCAGATCTTCCACATGGGATCGGGAACACCCACTGATCAAAAAATGCAACGAGATTATCCACTTCCCAGACAATCATGGCCTATGGATAAAAAAGAGAAAGAAAAGAAACAAATATCAACGACTATTGAAAGAAAGAAGGAGAATCCAAAAGAAAAGATTTAAAACAACTGAGGATGAAACTCGAATAGATCAACTTACCCAAGAAATAAACCGGAAAGTCACTTCCATGAATATATACAAAATGTTTACCAAAATGAAAGATGCTAAAAAAATATGGCGATTAATAAAAAAACACATAATCGATGAAGGTGAAAGAATCAACTGGGCGAACCCGACAACAATAAATAGCAAATTAAATTGGCTTCAGGGTTTTACAACCAATCGGCCCAAATACGAGGATCAACCGACTGGTATCGATGGCCACATCCATGAACACGAAATACTAATGCTCAGAAAATACAAAGCAAAGGCCTCCAGCCTATCAGCGGACAACTTCACGATAGCAACCTGGAATCGATTCCTAGATAGAAACAGAGACGAGATAATCAGAGTATAGTAAACATCATCCAATCTTCTCATGTGCCGAATGTCCTGTGCGTCTTTGGGTGCGGCTTCGTTCCGAAGCCGGATGGCCGAGTTCGAATGATCAGAACTCCAAATCATCTACTCAAGATGATAGATTCCATATTAGCGAATCGACTTCAAGAGGTGGCCGAGAAAATGTTGGTACCGGGAACGCAATTCGGATTCCTAGCAGGGAGGAGAAGAGAAGATTTACTCAGAATTCTTTTAAAAAAGGAGAATAGATTCTCCTCGACAATTATAATGGTCGACGTCTCAACAGCCTTCGACGACGTCAGCCTAGCTCCGATCCGAGGTCAGCTGACAGAGTTAGTTGGACAATCGACTATGGCTCTAATCGACTCAATACAAACAAATGATTACCTCACATGGTTCGATGGCAGGAAGAAGCTCTTTAAAAAATCAACCTCCGAAGTATCGCAAGGTACCTCAATCGGCCCTCTCCTCTTCATCTTGGCCCTCAATCACGTCATAAGCAAATGTTGGTCGAAGGGTATCCACGTTTATGCGTTCGCGGACGATATGACCATCGTAATACGTGAATTCTCTCCTTGGACAAGAGCGGCAACACTGGAGGAAATAAAAAAATTACTATTAGAAATAAATCTCAAACTGAACGAGGAAAAAACAAAAATCATTTACCCAAGCGATGACACGATATACCGCATATTAGGCTTCTCATACTGCAAAAAGAAGATCACATTAAAAAGTGCAAAGAAACAAATGGAAGAAAACATAAACAAGCTAATAATTCAGTCCAGAAGGATTAATTGGCCCAAAATTGGTTACCTTCCACTAAAAATCCAAAAACTGATAGTGTCCAGCTACTTGTGGCCTTGTATATACCCGCTAATACCCTTAATGATGCAGGACCTGGTTAACGAAAACAGAATCAATGAATTAATTGGCACCATGATAAACAAATTCATCTCAACAAGAAGAACGCGATGGGGCCACTTAGTTATTTACAAGTACCCAAAATGGTTGGAAAACTGCCGAATTCAAAACAGAATATGCGATTCGAACGAAGGAATTCGAAGACCAGAGGGCTGGATAGAGAGACACAAAGTTCCGATAGCCGAAATATTAAATCGGAAAACTCTATCGGGCGATCATCAGATATATTATAAAATCAAAGACAGTAGAACCACAATAATACGACACAACACATCCGAAGGACTTTGGAAGATGGAGATACCAAGAGGTAAGGAAATGTACGAAGTGAGACTAATTTCTTTAGAAGCAATCATAAGGATATGGGGACAATTTCAAGTGACAATTGTATTGGAACCAAAAACAGCGGAACTAATCTATTCAAGTTCACAATTCGGTCATGACGTTAGAAGAATCCTACTATTACCAGGAAATTGGCTCTTCACAACCACCCAAACCAGAGACAACTGGTGGGAGAGGGAAATTAGATGGTATCTACCTCTCCCAAACAATCTAAACAATGTGAGGACGCAACAAAGAAAATTGATAGAAGAAGAAAAAAAGATAACTGAACAAAAATTCAGACAATCAAACTCACCACTGGCCAAACTAAACATCAAAGTTGAAGACAAAATACAAATACATTGCATGATAACACTGGAGAATATGGTAAAACATAGACGAGTGATCGATTGCTGCGGGATTAGAAGACCACATCGGCTTCACTACTGGCTAGAATGCGAACGGATCGAAAACAACTTCCCTGAAATACAAGGACTCAGATTGAAACACGTAAAAGATTGGGATGCCAAAGACATAAAAATAATAAATGAAATACTTGAAACAGTTGACAACAGAATTGAATCTTTCCAAACATGTACACGGTTAGAAATGCAACCGTTAGAGGGTAGCACAAGAGGCTACTCAGTTGTATGACAACCGTAAAGGTTACACAATATGTGAATAAAATTACGTTACAAACTTGAAAGTTTCAAGTTGAAATTATGAAAGAAATAGAAGTCAACGAACAATCAGTTAATTTTAAGAATTTGTGAATTAATTCAAATAACTACCACCAATTGTGATTCGAAATGAATAAGACCAATGGATTCTCGCAATGGAAAAAACGATAACTGTTGATGGAAATGTGTTCTTGCGTTCCTTTAGAGTTGAAACATCAGAATAAAATGTACAATTGCCAATCGAAAATGGTAGAGCCAAATCACCAGAATGATCGAAAAGATACAAAAAATCGTCGTGTTCTTGGTTCCAAATGAAAAGATGGCTACCCAATGAAACTGTTGATCATATCTGGATGACGGAGCCGAAGAGATTAAAGTTTCCAAGTTGGATTGGAACATCCAGAATGTGGAGATTGTCATGGAGAGAACCCGAAGAAACAAATTTGTCGAGCTATTTGACCTTCATGTTACCCTATCATACCTATGTTACCAATGTAAGATGTCTTTCTTTAGAAAAGATTGATGGAACCATTTTCACCATGATGTCAAAAATACCGATTCGGATGAAAATACTAAAAGAGATTCAAAGAAGAGTCTGATTTGGCTAACAAATTTGATAATCGTGAGAAGATTCTAGACGATCTGGAAATGATAAAGGTCGACAGTTTAAACAAAGGAGATAAAAAAGACTCAGATTGTCACTGTAGTTAATGATTGGTCATTTTAAAATATGCGCTGAAAAAAACGACCGATCCTTTTAAGAGAGTAAATCAATTGCAACAATTAAGTAAATTTTTCGTTCGATTGTTGACAAAAATGAAAATGGATCAAACTTTCAAATCATTTGAATCTTTTTGATGTAAAGAAAATAATAATTTTCTTCAACTATTAATCGTCAATTTATCCTTAAGTGAATTTCTACAAATACTCCAACAATACCCTTCGAATCATTTACAATAACAAAGTTTGTTATCGTAATTAACATCACCAACTACTTCTTCTTTCTAGTGATAATCATTGTATTAATATTGGTACAATTGGTTCATTACAATCAAAGAATCAACAACAATCAAGGTTAAATGGATGCGCATGTATTTGTATTACTGGTGATCATTATAAAATCTGTGTAATTCAATCAAGTTTCATCATCCACATCAAAGATAAACATGAATAACGAGCAACAATTGTTTTCTCAGTTAATCCATCACTTGAACGATTAATTATTGTTATAAATCGACTTGAACATTGATTCTTATGTGATTCATACAACAATCAACTTAATCCAATCGCAAGGATCGTCAATCAATAGACGAGTTAATCTACAAACTTCAATAATTGATGGAAACTTTGTTTTCATTTATATTTAAAGGTTTTATTCACATTTAAATGTATTAATTCAATTAATTCTTCTTCTCCTCGGATTCTTGTTTGTCTAATTTGGTTAAAACTTCATCTAATTTTTTTCTTTCTTCTTCCTCTTCTAGCAATTCTTTTTGGAAAACTCTGAGTAGCGTGGATTCAATTGTCGTCGCCTCGTGAATTTCAACATGGAAATTATTATTTTCTGGTATATTAAAAGCAATCACTTCATTTCCTTGATGTTTACCCAAAAGCTTGACAATCGGATTACAAGCTAATCTAACCTTTGGATGATTATTGTTGGTTAATCTTCGTATTCTGCTGATCAAACGACTATTACTTAACGTGGTCTCTATTCCTGGTGGTGTTGATGAAATTATTGATGATTGTTCATCATCTCTATTATATTCCAAGATGAAAGATTCAATAATAAAGGCGGTGAAACAATTGAGAACCACAATGATACAAATCAAATGGAAACTGACAAAATATAATCGAGTATATTTACTATTGGTCATAATTTCATAATTTCTGACAAACTGATGCCAATCATTTACCGCCAACAGTTGAAAGAGTAACAGATATGCCGTTACTATTGAATTAAAGTTAATTGTACAAAAGCGAACCCCTTTTTCCGTTAAATTGGATGGACAGCAATCAATTGAACCAACCGGACAACCAGAAGGATCTGAATTGATTAATTGAGCAAATAAGATGATCCCAATGATAGCAAAAAAGTAAAACAATGCAAATATGATGATTGTAAAGTCGATTATAAATGGAATCATCCAACGGGAAGTGTTTAAAATTGAATGAAATCTTTCAATTCGGCGAAACATCCTGATGATTGGAAGAACAAGAAGAATCAGAAAAACGTTTAAATAAGGATCTATATTTGATTCTTCAACTAAACCAAAGATCACAATGAATATCATGATAACTGCTAAAATAGTTCCAGTTAACGAATAGAGATTCCAAAATTGTTTGAAAAATATAATAAATCCCTGAGAATATAATTTGGCAAAATTATCAAACACAAAGAAGCTGATGACGAAATATTCAAAATCAATCCGATCAGGAGAATTGTCAAATGTCAGAACAATCAAGCTAATTATCAGAATAAATTCTGCTGTATACTGATAATAAACACTTTGAATAACAATACGGAACATCATTGATGTTGACGAATCGTAGATTGAGCTAAAGTAGCGACTCACAAATGTGGACAGTTCATCAGAACGAACCGGATAAACCATATTGATCTGAATTACTGGTAATTCAATCATGTTTAAAAATTCACGACGTTTAATTAATCCTTGAGTTTCCAAAAGATACCAAACTGTATACAAATAGTGACGAGAATTAACCGAACCAAATGACGGATTGTATTCTGGAACATCAATTGCAATATGATTAAATTGTTCCCGAGTTAATCCAGCCTGTTGATCAAATCTATCAGATGAACCAGTTACCACTTCGAAAGCTTTATTAAGGTTGGATAATTTAATTGAATGAATGTTGGAAATTTCATCCTAAATATAAGACAAGATCAAATTATTTATGAGAAACAAAACAAAAAGTCAGATTAAATTCTGGTTAATTTTTTGTAGTTGATTGTTACAATTACTTTTAAATGTCCTCTGTATGAATTGTAGATAACTGCTAGAGTTATATTCATGAAGAGAAGCCAATTAATTATCAAGAATATGACAAAAAATATAGCAAAGAATCCGCTCTGATTATAAGCTGGTAACCTGCGGAAGTGATTAATACATTTAATTAACTGGAATAATTAACTTTTTTTCTCTTACATAATAGATGGATTATTGACCGTTGTGACCAGAACATAAAGATTATACAAAGAATTGGAATATGTATCAAAAGGCAAAGTTCTCTGATCAAATAGTCGACGTTGTGAGAATAATTTAAATCCAATTATCGAGGACAAACCAAGAGATAAAAAGTAAAGAATTAAAATGTTCACCTGATCGGGTAAAGTTCTATAAACACACTTAACTATCCTGCGAAGCTTTAATGACAATGAAAGAAGAATTGAGTCAGAGAACAATTAAATCTAATCGAGAGGAAACAATTTACCTGACGCTGTTCTGGAATAAGAAAGATGAAAAAAGGTCTAAGACATCGTGACCATCGAGTGGAAAACAATGGAAAATGATGATAAGAAGCAGAAGATTGCAGAATAATATCAACCATGGAAAAGAAAATTAATCCTAATTGTAAGATGTTTTTACCGTCAATCCAGAACAATTTAAGTTGCGTACATCGATGTAGAAAGGCTAATCGTACAAAAAGGACGGAGAAACAACCGATCTCGACTAAATTGATTGTAACGGATAATATGGTCTTCTTATATTTACCATTTTCCAAAACACTCAAACTAATATCTTCCCAAATCGCAATTAGAAGGAGCAGAAAAACGGCTAAATTAGTTAACCATGTGAAATGATAATTTGAATAGATGAAATATATTTTCAACGAATCAATGTCATCTTTCAATTTAAATTTAATTCCGTCCAAAGCACATTTAATCAACGCTCTGCCATGTAAGTAATTACGTTCAACATGATCACTAATTACTAAATGAGTACTCGAATCAACTGGTTTAACTGAGAGAATCTCAGCAGTTGATGAACTTTTCATAATGAGAAAGGAAAAAAATAACTAAACACTAATCACAATTAACTAAGATTAAATGAACATCTTTATTATCCAAACAATTGTCGAGTTAATTGTTTCGGATTGTGTACAATTGATTAGATTGTATCGACCTTGATTGTAAACAAGATTGACAAATTAATCTCCGTATGATAATATTCAATCGTTATTGAGTATTTTTGATTACAAAAATGATTTCCTAATTGTAACCATGTGACTTTCTAATTAAAAACTTTCAACAAATTGATTCAATTATGAGGAATCACAATCAACATCCGGCGACAATCAAATTAATTGTTTTCAACGGTAACAATTAATTGAAATTTTCATTCTCTCCAATAAAAATTGGAAATGAATCATTTGATTGACAAGCAATATAATTAATTATGGTAAATATTTTGAGATAAGTTTTGTTTTTGGAAACATCAATTAATGAATTGTTTGTAAGTTTAATATCCTAATTGAATTTGGGAATTTATAACAATCAAGGATTCAACTGTAATTGTTTCTTTTGCGTTTGTATGTTGATGGGATGTTTAATTAATTATAATAATAATTATAATGTAAACAAGTAAAAAATAGTTAATGATTAATCACATTTGGTTATCTGTTTTTAATCATTGTAAATAACGACTAGAGTCGAGTTCACTTGTCTTTTGGAAATATTTGACAATATAATTTAACGGTGTATTTAAATTTCTCACTTCCTTTCTCTCCCTTTAGTTGATTGTTGAGCTGAAAACATTTAATAAGAATGGTTTTGATTGTAAACAGAACCAAAAGTTTGATAGATCACAGGTAAGTATTTTCCGAAGATGATGTACCAGCATTAGTAATAATCTTTGGTTTAACAGCTACCGCAGGAGCGGGCGGAAGTGGCCTTGGTGGCCTTCGACCCACCGAAGCTTGACTTTCTCCACTACTACGATTACTATTATCACCGTTATCCCAATCTAAGGAAGGAGATTGTTGAAGTTGTTGTTGTTGTTGTTGTTGTTGTTGTTGTGATTGATGATGACTGGAATTTAAGATGTAATTAGAGTGAGCTGATCGTTTCGGCTTATCCGGTGGTAAATCTGATCTTCGTTGATTAAACTCCTCACTACTATTGCTGTCGCGATTATTTTGCTTGAGGAGAAACTCTTCCTCGGAATCATCAGCAAATGAGATCATCTCTGGATTATTATTATTATTATTGTTGTTGTTGTTGTTGATTTTGATATCATTATTATTATTATTGTTAATGTTAATATCGTTTTTTATCATTTGGCCTTCATCGATAATGATATCACTTGATGAACATTTTGCTGTCAATGAATTATCAGCGACCACTAATTGAGAGAGATCGGGATATAATTTGCTTGATGGTTCTTCGGTTGATGATTCAAGTGATTCTTCATAGTCGAAAATGTTTTCTGTTGATTGTTCAAGTGTAGATGATTGATTTGTTAATGTAGGTGTTGAATCACGACTTGGACGTTCTGGCGGTGGGAAACTGGGTCTTTCGAGGGTACTATTATTACTGTTGCTGGTTGATTGTTTATTGCTAATAGATTGTTGTGCATAAGGCACTTCTGGTGGAGGAATTGTTGGTTTGTCAATCACATTTAACCTTGGTGTCCTTGGATTGCCAATGAATGAGATTGTTTTGTTTTTACGATCATTATTTTTACGATCTAAACTGCTTCGCAGTTGTTTACGATCTAAAGAGCCAGTGAGAAATGAGGTTAATCTTTCACTGTTGATCAGACTACTGGATGAAGGTGCTGGTGATGTTACATTATTTGTAACACTGGATAGTTGATCAGCTAAAACATCAGAGGAAAATGGTGATGCTGATGATGACGATGATGATGATGAGAAGGGAGGTGATTCACAGAGAAAATTTTCAAGTTTATGTGCAACAGGTTTAACAGCGGTAGATGACGATGAGGTAAAGATGATCCGGTTGACGATTGAGAAATTGAATTTTGCCTGTAACTATTTGTATTATTACTATTAACTGAATTGCAACTATCATGATTCCTATTAATATTATTATTAACCAATTCACCTTCTGACATGATCCTATCCTCCTTTGACAGTGATGATACCATCTCCTCCCCTTGAACTTGCCTTGAAGTGCCAGTTGTTGAAGGTGATGAGGATGTTGTTGATGATGCAGAAGATGCTTGCGTTGGTTGTGATGAGCGACTTGACAACGAATCTTTTGAATCTTCTCCAGATAATGATCCACGTCGTCTGCGTCCAATTCGGGATAAATTAGAACTATCAAGATCATCGTCGTTATCATCAACCAATGAACTTGAGGTTAGCTCACTTGAGCCAACTCCACGTCGAGAGGATGGTGTTGTTGTTGTAGTCGAGGAAGTATTGTTATCACGATAAGATCGACCTGTGCTTAAATCATCATCATCTCTAGTTGAACCGACTCGTCGAGCAACAGGTCGGATAGTGTCAGAGGATGGCACTGTGGTGGACGATAAACTGGAACCGTAATTATCTAATGAATTTGGTGTTGATGAAGAGGTTAATCCAATGTTGGATGGAGCTAAATTACTTGATAAACTATTGGCTGTTGTTGTGGTTAAATTGCTATTGTCTAACGAGGATGAATTGTTGGCTCTACTGGGGGTGACATTTGGTGCTGCGGATGCCGCTTGATTCATTTTCTTTTGCTTTTCAATCTCATCTTCGGATACCTGACGAGAGGGTGGCCTGGGTCTTGAGGGTGGTTGGTACGAGGATACTGATGTTGGTGGGGGAAGACTTCGTGATTCCTCTTCTTTCTTTTCTTTTTCAACCTTAGCTCGAACCTCATTCTCATGTGAACGCTCCATATAATGAGCAGTATCGGAAATTTTAACAATCCCACTGAGACAACCTCTTGGTGCTTCTGGTGTGTCGAAAACTTTGACTAGTGGAGCAGATGAAGTTGCTGTTGTGGTGGTTGATGAGGGTTCCTCGAATCGTACACTTCGAGGCATGTAAGTTGATGGATCATAATCGAAATCATCGAAACCCAATTCACCACCTCGTTCTCTCATGAAACGAGATTTGAACTGAGGCCCGGTGGAGAAAGAATCTTCATCTGTACGAGAATATCCACCAGGACGGTAAGTATCACTAGAATCTCGAAGGAATCGACGAGATGTCGGATCTCGACTATCATCTCCATACCTACTTCCAAGTCGACTTGTATCATCTCGTCGAGATCGAGATGAATAACCGCTGGGAGATGTGGCTCTATTAGGATCACGAGGATCTTTCTCGGAATCAGAATAACCTGGAGTATTGAGTCGACTTTGAGTTAAATCAGTCATTCGCGAGTCACGACGGGCAAATTGTGTTGCCAATCGATGGTCACTCTGACTTCTCATGAGCATACTTTGTTGGGGGACCGACAAATAAGATGAACTGACCCCAGTGGTGGACATTAAACCAGGAGATGAGGCATGTACATTAGCGTTAGATTCTTCGAGAGTTGACAGTTTAAGTTCACCAAAATTAACCAAATTACGGCGAAGTGAGTCCAACTCTGAGCTTGGCAAGAACTTCATACCTCGAGTATAATCGGCAGCATCGGCATCAAAATTTCTTAGAAAATCGAGTTTTAACAAAAATAAATTTCACCTCACAAAGTTCAACATCATTCCAGGTTTTCTTTGGGTCGACGATATTTTTCTCAACCAGGTCACAATTATCTTTAAGAAAATCATACTCAATGGCAAGATCTTCCTTTAATTTGGTTAAATTTTTCGATTCTACTCGTGAATAAGTTTCCAAATCTTTTAACATTTTATCCTCTTGAGCTTTTAAATCACGAACAAATCGTCGGACAATTTCTTCAATTTCATCACGAATGTGAACCGAGTTAACATTTAACCTTTCCATTGAGCGTTCGGTTTGTGAGAGAGCATCTTGTAATCTATTGAGAGCTCGACGAACTTGATGACAAATACGTGAGATTTCACGTTTAAGAATATCAATATGAGCTTCTTTACACTCGGGGCAAACCTTTTTATCACAATGATTACATCGAGTAGCTGTTGATTTCTCTGAACAGACACCACACCTTTCCATCATGGAGGGAACAGGTTCAGGCTCTTCACCGGTTATACTTTGGTGTAACTCAAGGAACCGTTGAAGAGTAACATTGGTGGGATAGGATTGAATTCCTTGAAAATGTATCCGATGTTCAGCTCGACATTCAGGGCATTTAATCTGCCGTCGGGCATAATCTTGAAGACCTTCCATACAAGGTTCCTGGCAGAAACTGTGTTGACATGGAAGCATCTTTGGGTTTCGAAATCGATCCAAACATATTGCACAGGTTAACAATTGTTCCAATTTATCCCAAGCAGTGGCCATGATTAGAACACTTCAATTTACAGGCTGATAGAATAGAATTTAATTCTAAAGAAGAAGAACAAAAGAAAACACCTATGTGAGAATACGACCCTTTTCACTCTCTCCCTTTACCTTAATCAAGAATCAAGAAGATACACAGAGGAAAATGGCGAGATGAGTTACTAGAATTTTCCGAGAAACTACCAGAATTTAAAGCTAAAAATACCACCGAAGTGAATTTTACTGATGAGATGATGAAGATGGTGTTGAATTTATATTCGTAACAGACAAGAAAATGTTGTTGGCGAAATAGTAACGAAAAAAAGATGAAATCACAGAAGAGAAGTGAATTTCTTGTTGGCCTTATGATTCATCATAAAATAATCTTTTTTGGGATTAACAGAAAGGGATAGAGAGAGAGAGAGAGAGAAATGGTGACAAAAAATGACAGAAAAAGGTAAAATTAATAAACAATTAACAATCTAAACCGAGAAAATAATCAACAAGTAGACCAAAAGACTTACCCAAATAAGATGGCGATCATTTGGAAGCCATGATAATAGTCCTCATGTAGAGAAAGAAAAGATTAACTCAATTAGCCGGTTGATTTACGATAATTTTTGCACAATTAGAAAAACAATTTATCACTTATTCTTAATTATGAGTGAAAATAAAGGTAAGGTTAACACGATGGAAGAAAAAATCACAGAGTTAAAGGAAACAACAAGTTTTTCTATTCTTTTTTTGGTAGAAAAAACTGTAAATTCTATTCTATGTAAAAATGTTTTCTTCTTTTTCTTTTTCTTCTCGTTGATTCTTTTTTGGCCTCTAAAGATGGTAACAATCAAATTCGAATCAGTTGAAGTTTATTTATGGAACAATTTGGATGAGCAAACTCGTGGAAGATGAGAAACACACATAGAGAGGGAGAGAAGAGGATGAAGATTAAGATGATGGCGGAAAATGAGGCAACCCAAGTAAAAAAAGAAAGAGAAAATGGTTAAGATGATCTAATCTTCATCTTCCTAATACTTTCTCTCTCTCTCTCTCTTTCCATCTACTTTATCTTCATCTTCATCTTCTCAAATCGTCATCATCTTGATCGTTGCCAAAATCACAACAATAACCGTTCAATCAATAAACTTGTAATCCGCATTTCCAGTTACCTGATTCCTGATTTACAAACTTTTTCTTTTGGCTCATTTTTCTTAATTCATAACTTGAACAGCTAACTGTATCTGTTGGACCAAATGCATCAATTGTTTCTCTGATGGTAAATTGGGTTGGCCAGATCCCAAGTTTTTAGCTGCTTGATTTCTAAGCACATTTTGGACATGATTGATCTAATTTGTGGAAAATAAGATTAATTATCAATTTTAATGTAGGGTAAATTATGTAAGCCAAGAAACGTTAATGATTCTAATGAATTATTCGCAATTGATGAACAATTCATCAACAGTGTAATAATTGCAAGAACTTACTGAGGGCAATGCTTGAGAAGGCGCTCGATTAAGCTGATGATGAATTTGGCTTTGACCATGCTGTTGCTGAGAAGTAGACTGTTGGACATTAATGATATGGTCTTGAGTCTGAGATGAAAGAGTCACTTGAGGTTGGGTCTGCTGCATCCCTTGAGATGGATGCTGGTTCATAATACTGGAAAGATTTGAATTTGCGAGGCAATTCATGATTAGACTAGTAGGAGTATTGCTGCTGGCCTGACCTTTACCCCTCGAATCCATATCGCCCATATTATCACGAATTGAGAAGTTTCGACCGAAATCTAACAAGAGAAAGTTTTCATCGTTAAATGAGATCTAAAATAGAATGTAAAAATGAAAACTTACTGAGAAGATCATCTCTCGATACTCCACTGGAACGTAAGGCATTTTCAATAATTTCTTTCTGTTGTGGTGAAAATAAAATATTTAGTATTGTGCAGGTCTATTGATAATTTAGTTGAATAATGTTGATAGTTTACCTTGCATCCAATTTCCATCAATAAACGATAAACTTTGCTCGGATTCAACGATTCTTTGGATGATTGTTGAGAAGAGAGCAACATTGAGACGTTCATCCTCAAAATGTTTCTCTACTACAACATCGGTTGTAGCCATGGCGGCGGAATTGTGATGAGATCCATATGAATAATCATTGTTGTTGTTATTATTACTACTATTACTATTACTATTATTGTTCATTTTACTTCCAGTGCTCATAAAATTATCACAACCACCAATAGCACCAAGAAGTTCGTCGAAATTATCTAAGCCCAGCTTATCATTTTCTGCATCCACTTGTTGCTGTTGTTGGTCACTTTTTTTATCATCTCCACGATTCCAGCCTTGATTCATCTCCATTTTGTTATCATCGTTTTGCCACATATTAAAAACACCAAAAACAAAACAGGATTAAAAGTCAATACCTAGAGACAAGAAGAACAAAAAGAAAATCAACAACACACATATAAATGAGCCCATCGAATTAATTTAAATTAATTAAATAATTATTGACTTTAGTAGATCATAAACATGGAAGAATAAGAAAAAATAGATAAAAGGTTAATGAAGTAAATAAATGGAACACACAGAGGTAATCACATTAATGAATGAATAGAAAGAGAAAAAAAGATCGAAAGAAGGAAAGAAATTGAAGAAACGAGATACATCATATTATAAAGTAAGAGAAAAAGAGAGGATAGAAAGAGAGTAAATGAGATGCTGATAGTAAAATGGTGGATGAACAAGTTGAGAGAGAGAAAAACGTAAGAGAAAAACGTAAGAGAAAAACGACCAGAAAAAGAGAGAGAAAATGATATAGAAAGAGAAGAAAAAAATCAACAACACACATAAGCAAAAATAGAAAGAGAGAATAAGAGAAATAGACAGAGAAAATGAAAGAGAGAGAAAGAGCTGAGTAAAAAAAGAAAATAACATGAAATTGGTAAAGAAAAAAAAACGAAGAATTAAAATGAAAGTTGGAAATTTCATCCTAAATATAAGATCAAATTATTTATAATTTTAGAGAAACAAAACAAAAAGTCAGATTAAATTCTGGTTAATTTTTTGTAGTTTATTGTTACAATTACTTTTAAATGTCCTCTGTATGAATTGTAGATAACTGCTAGAGTTATATTCATGAAGAGAAGCCAATTAATTATCAAGAATATGACAAAAAATATAGCAAAGAATCCGCTCTGATTATAAGAAGAATTGAGTCAACAATTAAATCTAATCGAGAGGAAACAATTTACCATTTTCCAAAACACTCAAACTAATATCTTCCCAAATCGCAATTAGAAGGAGCAGAAAAACGGCTAAATTAGTTAACCATGTGAAATGATAATTTGAATAGATGAAATATATTTTCAACGAATCAATGTCATCTTTCAATTTAAATTTAATTCCGTCCAAAGCACATTTAATCAACGCTCTGCCATGTAAGTAATTACGTTCAACATGATCACTAATTACTAAATGAGTACTCGAATCAACTGGTTTAACTGAGAGAATCTCAGCAGTTGATGAACTTTTCATAATGAGAAAGGAAAAATAACTAAACACTAATCACAATTAACTAAGATTAAATGAACATCTTTATTATCCAAACAATTGTCGAGTTAATTGTTTCGGATTGTGTACAATTGATTAGATTGTATCGACCTTGATTGTAAACAAGATTGACAAATTAATCTCCGTATGATAATATTCAATCGTTGTTGAGTATTTGATTAAGAATGATTTCCTAATTGTAACCATGTGACTTTCTAATTAAAAACTTTCAACAAATTGATTCAATTATGAGGAATCACAATCAACATCCGGCGACAATCAAATTAATTGTTTTCAACGGTAACAATTAATTGAAATTTTCATTCTCCAATAAAATTGAAATGAATCATTTGATTGACAAGCAATATAATTAATTATGGTAAATATTTTGAGATAAGTTTTGTTTTTGGAAACATCAATTAATGAATTGTTTGTAAGTTTAATATCCTAATTGAATTTGGGAATTTATAACAATCAAGGATTCAACTGTAATTGTTTCTTTTGCGTTTGTATGTTGATGGATGTTTAATTAATTATAATAATAATTATAATGTAAACAAGTAAAAAATAGTTAATGATTAATCACATTTGGTTATCTGTTTTTAATCATTGTAAATAACGACTAGAGTCGAGTTCACTTGTCTTTTGGAAATATTTGACAATATAATTTAACGGTGTATTTAAATTTCTCACTTCCTTTCTCTCCCTTTAGTTGATTGTTGAGCTGAAAACATTTAATAAGAATGGTTTTGATTGTAAACAGAACCAAAAGTTTGATAGATCACAGGTAAGTATTTTCCGAAGATGATGTACCAGCATTAGTAATAATCTTTGGTTTAACAGCTACCGCAGGAGCGGGCGGAAGTGGCCTTGGTGGCCTTCGACCCACCGAAGCTTGACTTTCTCCACTACTACGATTACTATTATCACCGTTATCCCAATCTAAGGAAGGAGATTGTTGAAGTTGTTGTTGTTGTTGTTGTTGTTGTGATTGATGATGACTGGAATTTAAGATGTAATTAGAGTGAGCTGATCGTTTCGGCTTATCCGGTGGTAAATCTGATCTTCGTTGATTAAACTCCTCACTACTATTGCTGTCGCGATTATTTTGCTTGAGGAGAAACTCTTCCTCGGAATCATCAGCAAATGAGATCATCTCTGGATTATTATTATTATTATTGTTGTTGTTGTTGTTGATTTTGATATCATTATTATTATTATTGTTAATGTTAATATCGTTTTTTATCATTTGGCCTTCATCGATAATGATATCACTTGATGAACATTTTGCTGTCAATGAATTATCAGCGACCACTAATTGAGAGAGATCGGGATATAATTTGCTTGATGGTTCTTCGGTTGATGATTCAAGTGATTCTTCATAGTCGAAAATGTTTTCTGTTGATTGTTCAAGTGTAGATGATTGATTTGTTAATGTAGGTGTTGAATCACGACTTGGACGTTCTGGCGGTGGGAAACTGGGTCTTTCGAGGGTACTATTATTACTGTTGCTGGTTGATTGTTTATTGCTAATAGATTGTTGTGCATAAGGCACTTCTGGTGGAGGAATTGTTGGTTTGTCAATCACATTTAACCTTGGTGTCCTTGGATTGCCAATGAATGAGATTGTTTTGTTTTTACGATCATTATTTTTACGATCTAAACTGCTTCGCAGTTGTTTACGATCTAAAGAGCCAGTGAGAAATGAGGTTAATCTTTCACTGTTGATCAGACTACTGGATGAAGGTGCTGGTGATGTTACATTATTTGTAACACTGGATAGTTGATCAGCTAAAACATCAGAGGAAAATGGTGATGCTGATGATGACGATGATGATGATGAGAAGGGAGGTGATTCACAGGGAAAATTTTCAAGTTTATGTGCAACAGGTTTAACAGCGGTAGATGACGATGATGATGTAGATGCTGTTGATGAATAACCTTGGCTTTTCATGAAATTAGCAGGAGAATGACTATTAGATAAGCTGGTAGTTGTTGTTGTTGTTGTTTTGTTGTGGGTTCATTTTGTTGGATTAATTGTTGATAATTTTTTTCGTTAGATGAAGATGCTGATAATGTTGTTGTTGTTGATGATGATGATGATGAAGATGGTGCGGGTGGAGCTGGCTTCTTGTTAGATCTTGGAGCACTGGCCCGTGGAACCGGTGTTGGGTGCCGCTCTTGACTGATTTCACCATTTAGAGGCTTTTCCTCCGGAAGGTATGATATCTGCGGTGTTGTAAATTCAATTTCTGTAGTATATCAAGCACCGGAAGAAAGAGACAGAGAAGGTGGTAGAGGGAAAGAGAAAATAGAAAGAAAGAAAGAAAGAGAAAGAAAAAAGAGAGAGAAAAGAAGAGAACAAGTGAGATAAATCAAAAACAAAAATTGAAAGAGAGAGAGAGAGAGATGAAGAAAATAGAATGAGTGAGCAGAAAATAAACAGTAAAAGGTTATAGTTGAATCGTTTCAACAAATTTTGATGTTCTTGGTTAAATGTTGCTTATTTGCTAATATAACGAACGATGAATGATAATTATAAGTTAATAATCTTCATGATTCATGATGATGATAATAGATGATGACTATATACCTTCAGGGAAAAACCAATCAGCATAGCTGACAAGAGCTTCAATGATTAATGAATGAAGATTAGCAGCAGCCATGTTTGCACCAAATGCATCGTCCACTTCAACTGGTGGACTCCAAATAAGACTTGGTGCTAAGGCAATGGCAATATTGGAGGGAGTCATTTTATTGGCTTCAGAGTGAGATGATAATTTAGACAAAAATTTGATTAAATATTTCAAATTATTGTAATGAGATTTGGGTAAGCTGTTGCAAACCTGCCAGAAAGCTTGGAGTCTGCTGTTTGAATCAAGTATCCTGAATATTGGTGAAAAAAAAAAGATGGACAGATTAATAAAAATAATGATGAAAGGGAGACAGGATGATGATGAAATTGTGAGATAAATTAAAAAAAGTAAAAAGAGAAAAGAGAAAAGGAAAAGGAATGAAAAATGAATGGACAATGGAAAAGATATGGTCAGTGAATGAGAATGATTAGTTTTTACAACAAAGTAATTAAACGGTAGATGATAAACCAACATACTTTGCAGCATTTATCCAAGCTTGGTAGTGTTGATGGGTCAAAAGAGGATCCGGAAGCTCCCTTAGATATGACTTTAAACATCCGGCAACGGTATGTGCATCTCGTAAGTACTCATCATAATCCACCACTCCAGCGTTTAGAGAGCTTTTCAATTTTTTCACTTTGGTTACACTTCCAGGGACTCTGAAGATACCCTCTTCTTTAATATTCATAAGTAACCAGCCGATACAAGCTTCAATGACTAAGGCAATTTCTCGATTACTAATACGAAGATGATCTTCCAATGGTGTACCAAAGATGGGTCGCTGTGAGTTATTTGCTATTGTTTTCCATTATTAACCAGGTAATCAGAGTAGAATGTGTTGTGAATGGGGACAAGGAAATGAGAGAAACAAAAAAAAAGAATAGAGTTGTTGTTATTAATTAGGTGATGACAAGGTCGATTGTTTGAATTGAATAAATCTTTTTGTATATCTCTATGTGTGCGTGTGTTTGTTTGTTTATGGATATGAAAGAATAGGAAGACAAACCTAATTTTTGTTCCAACATGGGAATTGCTTCTTCAAGAATCGCTGCTGAGCGACGGTGAAATGCAGCTTGAAGTTTAAAAAATTCGAGATAAACTTGAGCAACATCAGGTTCTCGACTGAGAAAGTTGAAAACTTCAATGGCAAAAGCATCTTTGGCTTGATCTACTTTGGTTGTAGCTTCATCTAATTCTTGTTTAATTGTTTCCAATTTATTAGCTGCTGCTACAGTTGCCGAAGATCCCGTTGACTGGTGGCTTTGTTTCATCGCTTGTTGATACTTTTGACGGCAAGTATCCATATCGGAGGTCGCTTTACTTAAATGTTTACGAGATTTAACCACACTTGGAATGTCATTATCGATGAAATAGTTTAATGCTGTAAGACAGTTTTTCTCTACTGAAATTTCATAATCTATTAATTCTCGGCTAACACTTTTCTGTAATTCACCACAATCAACCAACGTTTGACTGTAAAAAGTAGCGTGAGTGAGCGATAAAAAGATAAAAATAAATATAGAAAAAAAGAATGATTAGTGTTTATGTTATTGTGACGAAAAAGATGATCAAAGTGTAGAGAAGAAGAAAAAAGATACGAAGAATAGAGCAAAAAAAAAATAATACAAATACTGATGAAAGAGAAGATGAAGATGGCTAAAAAATTAGATTGATTAACCTGAAATTGTAAGAGCTCAATTTTAGTTGAGCTTTTTGGTGCGTTAAGCGTAGATTTATATGAGAAATTAGACGAATGAATGTCAATTAAATTTAGAGAAGTGAAGAAGAGAGAACAAAACAAATGTGAATACACGATTGTTTTGATGTGCACGAAGCGTTAGAAAGATAATAAAAGACGAATAAGAAGAAGAATAATAATAAGATGATGATGATGATGAAAGGAGAAATATAAGAATTACATGTAAAAAGAGAGCGAAAGGGATAGAGAAGATTAAAAGTGATATAAAAGCTGTCAGAAAGAATTATACTAACCCAAGAAGAGAATCGGTACCCAATTGCTCTCCATGCTCCAGAAGAGATTGAGATAAGTGTAATTCGGGTATTTTTTTACTTCGTTTTTCAATCTCGCTACCAGAACCATAACCACGAAGACAACTGGCGATCTTTTTTTCCACTGATTGACATGAAACCTTCATGAGATCAACTTTTTTCTCAGCATTGACAAGATCAACCGTCATCACATCGCTTTTATCACCTCTATAAATCGAAAAAAAAAAGAGAGAGAAAAGAGAAAAAGGAAGAAGAAGATAAAGAATAGGCCAAAAAGAGAAAAGAAAACATCAATTATAATGGATAGGAAAGTAGACATAAGGTAAGAAGATGACAGAAAGAACGGGAGAGAAAATGATAATAGAAATTTAGAATAAATTAAGTGACTTACCTGACGACGGTGAGACCATCTTGGACGAAATTTTTGATATTTAGAAATTGTTTCTTCATCTTCTCTCCTGTTTTTCCGTGGAGAATTTAGAAAAACCAAAGAGGAATGAAAGAGAACGAAGAAGAAACAGAAAAAAAGGAAGGGTGGTGTGAGAGAATGGAAAATGAAGAGGCAATTGAAGTGGATTTTTTTACTTTCTCTCTCTCTCTCTCACTATCAAACTCTCTTCTGAAGTTGTATGGGAGTAAATAAATCAGGGTTAATCAATAGTAGACAGAAGCTATACATAGACTTTTCTCCCTCTTTCTCTCTCCCATAAAACACAGGATTATAAAAATAAAAGATGAGGAAATAACAACAAGATATAATGGGTTAGGTTAAAAAAGAAAATTATTGTTTGAGATAATAAACCGATGGACACACAACCAGAACACTAGTAACAGTAGACAACGAAATGGGACATTTTTGATACTTTCAACTGATCTCCAATTTGAAATAATAGTCGACGAAACCAATTCACACGTTTAGAGAAAAAGAAAAAGTAGGTAAAAAGGCAAATGAGCAAAAAAAAGGAAAAAGAAAAAGAAAATGAAAAGAGTTGAAGATTTAAGTCATTGAGAAGAAAAGAAAAAAACAAGAGAATCAAATTAACACTCGTTATGGAAAAGAAAACGTAAAATGAAATAATCCAAAGTTAATCATAGATTAATTGATGGAAGGTAATCATCTGATTACCGGTGATTGATAACATTTCATTTATTGATTTAACAATTTAGTGTAACAATTAACTTGAAGAGTAGGGCCGATAATTAATCAACTAAAATTGATTTTAATTCAACTTTTGACAAATGAAAAACAATAACATCAAAAGATAAAGAGACTAAATCACCAGATGTCACCACTTGGAAGCGAAACGAAAGTTATGCCATCTGGTGGACAGGGAATAAAATGGAGACTTTTTTATGGATTTTTAATTTGATTTGATTGTTTTTTAATTGTTTAGAGAGAGAAATGTTTCTTTCAATTTTGATTAGATACAATGAGAGAATTGAAATTGAGACAAAAATTATGATTTTTTTGTCGTTAGATAGATTTTGAAGAGAGATGGAGAGAGAGAGAGAGATGTCCAATTTTTGTTAATTGGTTGGACGGGTTGGAAAGTTTGATTATTTTTCCAAATTGCAATTAGTTTTTTTTTTTTTTTCCTTTGTTGTTTCCTTTTACTCTTGGTAAGTAAATCGAAACAAAAACCATATGAATCTACATTGGATTTGTTGGTACAACTGTAGGAGTTGTTTTCTGTTTTTTTTTGAAGAGACAATCACACAACAATTTAAAGATGATACGGTGACTATGATCAATTTTAGTGATAAATGAGATCGATCAAGCCAACGGGGTTTTTACACTCGAAGTGTGTTCACAGGTTAATGTGATCTGATTCAATTGATCTCATGTAGACCTGATTTTTGATTGTTTACTTCCATTCTTCAAAGACTTGTTAGAGTCTCGCTTTCGATACTTTTCCAAAAAACTTTCTTGTATTTCTTCAGGCAGGTGAATGAAATGGTTCCAAATCTGAAATGATTCAATAGATTGAATATGGATTAGATTCATTGAGATGATTTTTTTATTCTCTTATGATGATGATGATGAAAAATAATCGATTGAAAATCAATACTTACTTGCATGTTTTCCTTGTTCATCAATAATTGAGAGAGAGCAGTCATAGAATGAGGCACAAAGTCATAAATGGACAATTCACCGAGATGATCATCACCATCAATCACAGGTAAGTCTTTGAAAAGGTTAGCTGTTGAAGACAAAAGTATGAGAAGGTGTCTCATCAGATTGTCAAGTTTTGTTTGTTTGTTTGTTTGTTTCATTAGTATTAAATTGTTATGTATTGTTTTTGTGTTCAGTTCAAAGTAATTATCATTTTTTTAGTTCTGTTCAGTTCAGTTCAGTTTTTTCAGTTTTGTTCTGTTCTGTTCAATGAGTCAATAGTAAATTACCGTTCTCATAACGGCGATATTTTTTGTAGCCTTTACCCCGACAGCCAAGGCCTATGAAGGTTGGCTGAGGTCTAAGGATGGCTCTTTGTTGTTGCTCTCGAAATCGTCGAGCTCGATCTCGTTCTCGTTCTCGATCTTGTCTTGCCAATTCACGAGCTTGTAATCCTTCAGCTATTTGACGATCCAAATCAATTTGAGTTTCATTTGAGGTAATGGTTTCCTCACCATGTTCACCGTCATTATCTGACACACTTTAAATATAGAATAAAAAATCAGAATAAGAGAAGTTAAGAGAAATAGAGGGATAGAAAAGGATAGAAAAGGATAGAGAGAGGGAAAAGAGAGTCAATTGTGCATAACAAATGAAATAAAGTGTCAGAAGGGGAAAGAAAGAGAAAGAGAAAAACAAAGAAAGAGAGAAAGAGAGAAAGAGAGAGAGAGAAAGAGAGTCGAATATTTATTTACTTTTTCTAATCCATTTCATCATATTCTTTTAATTTCTAACCTTTGAATCCAAAATTAAAAGGATGATCAAATAAAGAGAAAAAGAAAAAGTAATAAAAAATAAGCAAGAAACAAATAATATTAAAAAAATGGAATAAAAAGTAAAACTGAATCAAGGTAAACAAAGAAGCTTAAAGGGACTAAAAATGTTAGTGATGGAAGAAAATAGAAAATAAGTCGACCAATTATACTCACTGGTTATTAATAAGAACTTCTTCAGGGATATTGACGCTTAGATCATCGTCACAATTAGATGTATTCTTACGAATAATACACATAATATTTTGGTGAAAAGTCACAAAGGACAACCAGGAAAAGATGGCGAAACCAGAAAGTCAACAAATGTAAACCAGAAAAAGACCAAAAAATTGATAATAAAAGAAAAGAATACAAGATGAAAGATGGAAAAGTCGAAAAGAATATTAAACCCACACAAAAGGATTAAAAGAGAATCTCAATCGACTATGTTGGAAGGCGAGAATCAATAAAATGAATAGAAATAAATAGAAATAAATAATCAACTAATTAGACAAAAATCACAATTAGAAAAAAAGAGAATCAAGGAAAACAACAAATTTGTTCTGTTACTAATCCTTGGTAACAGAATATCAAGTAACCTGATTTTCTGCGCCACAAGTGAGCAAATCACCAAATTAAAAGAAAGAGAAACAGATCAGTTTTTATTATTCTTTTCTCTTTTGTTTTTACTTTTTCATTTCATTTTCTATTTAATTAATCAATCATTTCCACCAATTATCTTATTAATGATATCATATTAATATCAACTTTTTATCAACTACAAGTTGTTATCTATCAATTAACATCCGATTCACTTATTATCTTTAAGCAGTTCCATGGATTCATTGAAGTTTATGTTTCTCTTTGACAACGATGAACAATTCAAGTGATTTAACATTTTCATTTCTATTTTCCATTGGTTTTCACAATCTTTTTACTCACATATAAGTCGAAACACAATTTTACTCTTCTGTAATTATACTATAAATGGTGTTCTCTCTTTATTATCTCCATATAAATGAATTATAAAAAATTCTATCAACAATTAATTGTTTTCTTCCATCACCGAGTTACCTGTGTATCCAAGTGACACCTTGAGTTAGAAAAGAAAACTAATTCATTGAGTTAATTTTCTTCTTCACTTTTGTTCATCAACAATTTTCACTTGATTGTTTTCCTCACCATTTATTCACAATTAAGGGTAAGTTAATTGTTCTTTTTTTATTAATTTTTGATTTTCTAACTACTCAGTCAACATAGGCTCATTGATGTGATTAAATAATCGGTGGTACAGTTAATTTATTAATTCCAAATGAGAGTTTTCTTATTTTCTCCTATGTGTCTCTTACCCACCTACGACTCCTCCTTGAGTTTAATTAATGTGACCATCTTATTCTGTCATCTAATCTAAATTAGTATTGAAATATTATCAATTTTATCTTGGTTGATTGTCTTCTTTGTTTTCTAATATTGTTCACAATTTTCCATATTCTCTCCAATATTAATTTGTACCTTCTTTTCTTTTACATTACAGTTTCTTTTTTCTGGTCTTCATTAATTTTCCACGATCATGCCTGGTTCTGTTTACTGTGGCTCAATATTAACCATATCAAGATGTAACCTTTTCTCTCTATTGTTAATTTTCTTATTAATTAACTTTCCAACTGTAAAAAGCTTCTCTTCTTCTTCTGTGCTGTCTAATGAAGTTGATAATGTTGATCCTAAGATTCAAATGCCCGATCAAACGTGTTATATTAATAAGTTGTGCTACTATCGACTGCCAATTAGTCCAATTAAATTTGGGCTGATAAAAAATTTAACCATCAAAGAGATTGGCCAAGATGGTTTACCCAAATGGTTAATATTCAGGCTGGAAAAAGATCACTGGGAATTAATTGGTTTCCCTCAAGAAAATGACAAAGGTCTTGCATGGTTTATTTTAGAAACTGTGACTAAAAATGATACCAAAATCAGTGATGTTTTCAATGTTGAAATTACCGGTGCTGCACCAACAAATTATCATATTTCCCCCGTTAATTGGCATGAAAGACAATGTACCATTCGAGTGGTACCTAAATTTAATTCTATTCTTGATGTTTGGAACACCATTTACTACCTCATTCCATCTCGTATCAAAGAAGAGATTAGAATTGCATCTAAATTGGTTGATAATTCTAACCTTGGTGAAGACAATGACGATCCCAATTTTATTATGGCCCGATGGTCATATCCCAATTTCGTTATCAAACAAACAGACATGGACATTAGAAGTTATCAATTAGCCATCGAGTATCAATATTGTTCACCTGAACATCCTCCTAGTGATGAGTTCCATTTGAAGCTTAAAAAGTTAGGCTTAGATTTTCAAAATATTATAATTGAGGAACCAAGGAGACGATTTCGAGAAGTTTCTGACAGGCCAATTGGTGAATTTTCAATCGCTCCTAATTCTCATTCCGAAAAAATTGTGCCTCTTTCAGCTAATAATGATAAAGTTTTCCATCCCCGAGAATTACCCAGTATCTTACCGACACCTTCTCTTTATCCCGATTTTATGACCATCTCAAGCACCTTAACCAACGGAAATCCTGATGACTACAAACTTGAACCAAGTACATTATCTCGAGAAGTTCCTACCTTAACTAGTCCCAGTGCTTTCCCATCATCTGTTTATCCAGACAGTTTACCTTCAGCTACTCCCCGAATGCCTGATTCTGTTAATACTGTAGGCGGTAATGATTTCTCATTTCATCCAAAACTCTACACCACACCTACCCCAACAATTGAACCACCAAGTATTTATGATGGTTTATCAACACCAACACCAATTCTTCCGAGTATTAAATTATCCGATTTATCATCATCACTTGTCATTCCTGATATTGGTCCAATTGTTTCATCATCAAACGACATTTTACCCACTCAATCCTTGGATTTAAATATAATTACAAAATCCAACACCATTGAAGATGAATTTACAGTTAAACCACCTCGACCCGAAATAACTGTTAATAGTCGACCCGAACTTCGAGCTCGCATTCCTAAACTTGCTCCGATTGCCGGTAAATATTGGACCTTTAAGATACCCGATAATACATTTATTGACCGTGAAGATGGATTAACGGATAAACTTAGATTAGGTTTCACTCGAGTGAGATCATCAATGAAAGATAAATCATCTAAAGATTTTTGGATACAATTTGATGCAGAAAATCAAGTGCTAACCGCTTTCCCAACCGATGATGATGTTGGTATTTATGAGAATCAATTTTACCTTGAAGCAGTTGATTCTGGTGGTTTATCCAATTATGAAAATATAACCATTCATGTGCGACAACACACATCATATCGTAAATTTCCCTACAATATTACATTTTATCGTGTTTATTGGGATCCTCTTAGAATCACAACAACAATTGAAGCTTTGAGAAACTTTGCTCAAATAATTTCCCAAGTAAATGGTGATTTTAACATTGACAGTTTCATCGTTCAACATTTAACCAAGGAAACAATTGATGGTAAAGATTATTGGACAATTGTATCAACAAATGATTCAATTCCAGCTTATCCTTGTCCAACCAAGAAAATTCAACAATTATATAATCGATTAGCTGATAAACCATCTAAAGGTCAATACGCTTTACCAAGTGAACTTTTAACAAGTAAAATGAGTAAAATGTTTACCATTGAAGGTGTCGGTCTATCAATTAGCTGTTCTAAGCCAAACACTGCTGCCGAGAAACCCGAATTACGTAATGCAATTGATGAATTACGTTTCCGTTTGGGTGAGGTTTTCCGGTACAAGATAGCGGAAAATATGTTCTATTCTGGCCGAGGGCGTAACACCTACAATCTAGAGATCAGTTTATACGATGGTTTTGGACGAGTCCCGGCTCCCGATAGTTTTGTTAAATTTAATGAGAAAACATTTGAAATTATTGGTCTTGCCGAAGATCGTAAATATATTCGTGAAAATGAGTTTAATTTGGTTGCTCGTGATCGTGAATCTGAAAATGAAGCATCAGATGCTTTTGTCATCGTCATTGAAGATCCATGGATCGAAGAGGAAATTAGTTTCACCGTTACCATTGGTATTACATTAAATGATAAAATAGACATTGAAGATAAGCTTGACATTGCTCATCGAATCTCGACCATTATGTTCAAAGATCCCGATACAAGTTCATTGCGAATTTTGAAGATTGTCAAACGTGATTACACTTTAATGCAAAGTGGTTATTATACTGGTACTGATGCAGCTAAAAATCCTAACCTATCAGATGTTGACGATGAAGAGAATACAATTGAACGTAGTAAACGTTCAGAACCTTATGATAATTCAATCGATGAAGGATCAATTCATACAATGTATGAATATGTTTGGACAAATAAAACTGAACCATTACTTGCAAAAGGAGGTGAATGTCCATCAACCGATATTCAGGATTATATTTTATCAAAATTATTCCAACCTGAGAGTAACTTTGAAACTTGGGATGAAAAATTTGCCGATAAATATCGAGTCATGTCAATTGAATTTAAACCAGTGGGTAAATGTTCAAATTACATGACAAATCGTGAAATGTATCGTGATAACATGAAGCCCAACATTATACCAGAAAAAGATTTAAAATCTCAACCCAATGATAATGTTAACTATGGACAACCGGCATCTAAAGACTATGAAGTTCATGCAAATGAGTTAGATGATTATTATTTACGAACAATTATTCCCGCAATTGGTACAGTTGCCATTTTACTTGTAGTTCTTTGTGTGATTGTTTGTATTCTAGTTAAATGTCGTAAAGATATTGACAAGAATCGTTTCGATATGACCATTAGACCAGGAATCGATGGTTATCCAACAGAAGTTGATGCATTTATCCAAAAGGGTCGACGACCAGTGATATTACAATCAGATTATCAGCAACATTTACCCATGAATTCAATGATGGTCACTTATAATCCAGTTCGTCAACAAACATATTCAATGGCAAATGTTAATAAAAACTCGTATCATGCTCTAGCTCACGCAGTTGAACAACAGCGACGTCAACCACCACCATACAGATGAACATTTCTTTTTCTACTTTAACCAATGGTGTTTCTTAAATTAATTTGTATATAAAAAGGAAACTTGAAAACTCGAGACAATCTTCTGGTCATTAACTATCATCACTTTATTCTGGTCTTCATAATCATCGCCCATAAACAACACGGACACACACATCAAACTAATCATTAACTTTTTTTGGTGATACTAAAGCGATTCAATTATAACCAGATCTTATTTAATTATCTGAATGGTCAACAACAATAACAACAATGGTCAATAGCTACTACTACCAATTTGTTATGGCAACTAATTGCATTGTTACTATAAAAAATCATCATAATGATCATCATCAGTGAAACTGCCTTTTCTTTTTGTTAAGAAATCATCATATTCATATCTCTCTCTCTCTCTCTCTCTCTCTTTCTCTCTCTCTCTCTCTCTCACTCTCTCATATCATCAACCACCTTTACTTAATCAGCAATATCTACCTGTTTGTGCCAAGTGTTTCCTGTCTGCATTTTATGTTCATATAATTTTCTGGGCTTTTTTTAATAATCAACAATAATTATCCAATGACCAATATTCTGAGTCACTAATTGATTAATTTAATCAATAATCATTAGAAAGGCTAATCACCTTTAGATAAACGCCTCGATAACAACGATTATATTCAATATTTGGTGGAGAAAAAAAATTATCATTTATCATCAACAATTCGGATTGCATGAAGTTAAGCAGCGAAAATTACAAGCTACAAAAAAAGTTTATGACTTTATCACAATTAAATGATTTTAATTTATTTAATTTGTTTCAATTATGATGATAAGGTGCCTAATGGGTCCTCAATGCAATCAATCATCGCTGGTGAAAAACAATGTTAACTCTAATCAACTTTAATTACTAAACTACACAATATGATCCAAGTTAACTTAATTCGTGTCAAGATGATAAAAAGCTCCTCTTTCCCACTTTGCATTTAAACTCAAATGATACAACCAACCATACGAGATTTCCCACCCTGTGTATATTAAGTAAATTGGGTAACAATCAAGGAAACAATTGGTTCTAGTTGAGGTCACAAATGGCAAGAATGATTAACATCGTCACAATCAGATTATTTTTATTGTGGAGAAAACGTCACAAAGGATAACCAGGAAAAGACGGCGAATCCAAAAAGTAATCAAGTCAACAAGTCTCATGATTAACTTACAGAATTGGTTGGATCGGGCATAGTGTAAAAGGGTCGGATTTTGAAGGGAAATTTATCAACGATGAAAAAATCAGTATCGTATTTGGCTTTGATTAACTTTCCGAGTAACTTTTCATTAGCGGTTGTTAGATCATCTTCATCATCCATTTCTACACCAGCCTCACGTAATAATTGAACCACTTCGGGAAAATCAAGACGTAAACTTGGTTCTAAAAATTTAAATGGTTCCGAATGATATTGTCGACGGACAATCTCAATTTCTTCCTTGTACAAAATGGACAATCCCTTGAAAATGGCCACAAATAGACGATCAAGTACATCGAGAACTTCATGATAATGATAATTAAAAGCCATCTCTAGATCGACTCCAACAAATTCTGTCATATGTCGATGGGTATTTGAATCTTCTGCACGGAAAACAGCACCAACCCGAAGGGACGAATCCATTTTTTTAAACGATCGCGATGATTGGTCCGAAAAAATTTTTCCCTTGAAGTAAAACATTAGTGTTTTATGCATCCTTTTCATTGCGATTTATTTATGCTCTGGATTATGGTAATAATCTCATTGTAAGTAAAACTCATCAAGTAAAAACTTCCCTCTCTCAATTGTTCATTTTTTTTGCGATAAATCAAATCTTCTAAATAAAATTTTTTCTTATAACTATCAATACTTTTGAAAAAATTTATAAGTCGAATGATTATTAGTTAGCATTTTAATTGGCGATTTGAAAGCTAACGTTACATTTTAATTATTTCACAGAGATGTCCAATTTTTGTTAATTGGTTGGACGGGTTGGAAAGTTTGATTATTTTTCCAAATTGCAATTAGTTTTTTTTTGTTTTTTTTCCTTTGTTGTTTCCTTTTACTCTTGGTAAGTAAATCGAAACAAAAACCATATGAATCTACATTGGATTTGTTGGTACAACTGTAGGAGTTGTTTTCTGTTTTTTTTTTGGAGAGACAATCACACAACAATTTAAAGATGATACGGTGACTATGATCAATTTTAGTGATAAATGAGATCGATCAAGCCAACGGGGTTTTAACACTCGAAGTGTGTTCACAGGTTAATGTGATCTGATTCAATTGATCTCATGTAGACCTGATTTTTGATTGTTTACTTCCATTCTTCAAAGACTTGTTAGAGTCTCGCTTTCGATACTTTTCCAAAAAACTTTCTTGTATTTCTTCAGGCAGGTGAATGAAATGATTCCAAATCTGAAATGATTGAATAAATGAAATTGATTAGGTTCATTGAGTTGTTTTATTTACTGATAATGATGATTAATAATCGATTGAAAATCAATACTTACTTGCATGTTTTCCTTGTTCATCAATAATTGAGAGAGAGCAGTCATAGAATGAGGCACAAAGTCATAAATGGACAATTCACCGAGATGATCATCACCATCAATCACAGGTAAGTCTTTGAAAAGGTTAGCTGTTGAAGACAAAAGTATGAGAAGGTGTCTCATCAGATTGTCAAGTTTTGTTTGTTTGTTTGTTTGTTTCATTAGTATTAAATTGTTATGTATTGTTTTTGTGTTCAGTTCAAAGTAATTATCATTTTTTTAGTTCTGTTCAGTTCAGTTCAATGAGTCAATAGTAAATTACCGTTCTCATAACGGCGATATTTTTTGTAGCCTTTACCCCGACAGCCAAGGCCTATGAAGGTTGGCTGAGGTCTAAGGATGGCTCTTTGTTGTTGTTCTCGAAATCGTCGAGCTCGATCTCGTTCTCGTTCTCGATCTTGTCTTGCCAATTCACGAGCTTGTAATCCTTCAGCTATTTGACGATCCAAATCAATTTGAGTTTCATTTGAGGTAATGGTTTCCTCTCCATGTTCACCGTCATTATCTGACACACTTTAAATATAGAATAAAAAATCAGAATAAGAGAAGTTAAGAAAAGTAAGAGAAATAGAGGGATAGAAAAGGATAGAAAAGGATAGAGAGAGGGAAAAGAGAGTCAATTGTGCATAACAAATGAAATAAAGTGTCAGAAGGGGAAAGAAAGAGAAAGAGAAAAACAAAGAAAGAAAGAAAGAGAGTCGCGAATATTTATTTACTTTTTCTAATCCATTTCATCATATTCTTTTAATTTCTAACCTTTGAATCCAAAATTAAAAGGATGATCAAATAAAGAGAAAAAGAAAAAGTAATAAAAAATAAGCAAGAAACAAATAATATTAAAAAAATGGAATAAAAAGTAAAACTGAATCAAGGTAAACAAAGAAGCTTAAAGGGACTAAAAATGTTAGTGATGGAAGAAAATAGAAAATAAGTCGACCAATTATACTCACTGGTTATTAATAAGAACTTCTTCAGGGATATTGACGCTTAGATCATCGTCACAATTAGATGTATTCTTACGAATAATACACATAATATTTTGGTGAAAAGTCACAAAGGACAACCAGGAAAAGATGGCGAAACCAGAAAGTCAACAAATGTAAACCAGAAAAAGACCAAAAAATTGATAATAAAATAAAAGAATAGAAGATGAAAGATGGAAAAGTCGAAAAGAATATGAAACCCACACAAAAGGATTAAAAGAGAATCTCAATCGACTATGTTGGAAGGCGAGAATCAATAAAATGAATAGAAATAAATAGAAATAAATAATCAACTAATTAGACAAAAATCACAATTAGAAAAAAAGAGAATCAAGGAAAACAACAAATTCTGTTCTGTTACTAATCCTTGGTAACAGAATATCAAGTAACCTGATTTTCTGCGCCACAAGTGAGCGAATCACCAAATTAAAAGAAAGAGAAACAGATCAGTTTTTTTTTATTCTTTTCTCTTTTGTTTTTACTTTTTCATTTCATTTTCTATTTAATTAATCAATCATTTCCATCAATTATCTTATTAATATTAACCCGTTGTTATCTTTAATCAGTCCCATGGGTGTGTTGTAGTTGTTGTTTGTCTATGACAATGATGAACAATTCAAATGAATCAACAACCTTTTCAATTATTTTTTGTTCGTTGCTACAATTTGCTTATTCTGTCAATTCAATTGGATTATTAATGTTACTCATCTTATGTAATTATATGTTTTTCCTTTGTTTTCTCTCTCTCTCTCTCTTTGTCGATCATTCGATCATCACTTTACTACGTGATGGTTTAATATGATGTGTGTCTATTTGTTTTGGTTATAACTACGTACTTGAAATTGTGAAAACTCTATGTGCTTTTAGGGGTTTGCAGTGGAAAAAATAAACATTAGATGCGAGGGAACATGGGGAAAGATTGATTGACGATTTATCTTTTCCCATGTCAGCTATAGATACTCACCTTATCTCTTTCATCTTGATTATCACTTTATCTTGACAGTATCAACACTTATGATTAGAGTAATCAAAGAGTAGCAATTGTTTATGAAGATTACTTTTCTTTCTGACCTTTGATAATCTTTATTTGTTTCATTTTTCTCTTAGGATCAGCCTATTCTTTTAAATGGAATCATTTACCTGGATAACTATTCGTTATTTAACTGCGTATTTTGCTATTGTTCATTTGATTGTCTTTGGTCATGATAATAGAAAATATTCCGATCAATATATTCTCAATTCTTATGGATCTTCTGAAGACGTAAAGAAAATTGTGATGGAACATGGATTCATTTACTTGGGACAAATTTTTGATGATATTCATTCATTTAAAGATGGATTATCTTTACCCGATAGATGTTCAATCAATCCCAATCTCACCGATATTTCAACTGAGAAGATTGTATCATCTATAACGCATTTACATGCTCTTAAACGGAGGAAGAGAATTTGACCTCAAAATCGAGTCGATTATGGATTCGAGTCCCATCGACTGTGTTATATTGGTTTTACTTTAGATGAAATTTTTTTTAACTCGAGTCAATCACTTACTTTAACAAAGCCGAACCAAAACCAATCGACAAAAGGAAAGCACTAACTCATAGAATCTTCTTTTCGAGATGAGCATTTCGATTCAAGACAATCAACCAAAGTGTAAAGAATTTCCTAGCTCTCTGCAATCAACTATTTAGATGATGAAATAATTTTGATTATTCTAAAATCACCAACATTTACAACTCATAATCTATTTGTACATTTTGATTGCTAAGTTTCCATTCAATAATATGATGAAATTCTGATCAAATATTTCAGGAGAAAAAAACGAAGAACTGAGAAAATGTAACTCGATTGAAAAGTTAAAACATTTCTAACGAAAATCATGTCACCTTTTCCCGTTATACTTTCGTTTTTAATAGATCTTCAATTCTCTGTGAGAATACTAACAATTTCCGGATCCGTTAGAATTGCTTATTTGAGTTTTACTTTTAGAGCTCCTGATTGTGGTAAAACAATAATAGCAAAGGTTGTTTCTTCTGAATCTAATGTACCTTTCCTTGCGATGGTTGGAACGTAATTCATTGAAATGACTGGTGGATCGAGTTAGAGATTTGTTTAAGGAAGCTCGAAAACGAGCACCATGTCTAGTTTATGAAATTAACGCGATCGGAAAGAAGCGAGATTAGATCTGATTAGATTTCAATTCAATCCCTCGAATCGATACAATAATAATTACCTACATGGTGAATGTTCACAAAGTACAAAATTCGTAGTCTTTTTACCGACGTAGTAAATATTGAAATAGATTCCAATCCAATAAAAATCAATTACATAATCAAACCTGTTGAAACAGTAACTCGATTCAAAGTGATACATAATTGAATCGTGTTAACATTATTTTCACGATCATCTAGTTACCTAAAGTTGGGAAAACTTCACGATTCGTGTTGGGATTGTTCAACTTGAAGGCTAAATTACTTAGAGGTGAATATTCAAATTCGAGCCCGTTTCCTGTCCGTAATCGTAAAAGAATCCAATCAAATTGTCTTGGAAGAGATTGTCAAACCAAAGTAGAAATGTATCTCATAGCTGAGGTTGAGAAAAGATTCAATTTGATAATCGATTAATACAATAAAATACATTGGGGGTGGAAGGATTCGTTTAAATTTGAAGGGTTTGGTTGTAACATTGAGACGCAATCTAATTAACACACTTATTACAACAATTAGTTTACCTAAGTTCTTTAATATTAAATGTATTAGTGAAAATATCAACTTACAATCAAAGGAACATTCAGTTTCCAGGTTAGATATTCAAATTCATCAGAGTTTTCGAAAGGTGAGATTTTACAATGATGTAGTAATTGAAGATAAACATTGAATGATCTAACATTACTTGTACGATTAAGTATTGTGAGTACTTATTTTTATTATAAATCATGAGGATCGTTTTATGCTTCTGTGTGTGGCTGATGAAAATTGTGCGAATGGTGATTTCAATGAATAATTTCGGTGGTTTAAACAGTCAAGTTGAAAAAGGTTTAGAAAGGTGAAGTTGCTCTGTTCCGATAATCAAGAATTTCCATGAGCTCTTCTGACATAAAATAAGGTTTGGATGGTGATCCATCATTACGTTCACAATCTTCAACTGTTTTCAGATAAAAAAAGAGATAAAACGAATTACTAAAATGAATCATCGAAACTCATAAAGATGGAACTTACGGAAACACAAGAATATTGTATCAACGGCCATGTCGTAGACACCAAAGAAACAATCAGCTATTAGATAAGTTCCAATACAAACAGCCTACAGAACAAAATGAGAAAAAAAGTAAATAAAACAATAATATTAAATGAAAATCTTTCATCCAACAAGTTAGTCAATAAGTTGAATATTTACCAGAATAGGAACCCAAGTATAATTAATATCTGGAGGTGTCATATAAGAGAGGTCAATTCATGACCTTTAGTGAAATAAACGAATGTAAGTAATCCCATGAACGCAGTGACGACCAATTTTCCCATCAAGAGTAAATAATCAGCCACTTTATCTAGAACAGCAACTCTGTTGAGAGAGAGAGAGAGAGAATTTTATAATTATTATTACTCAATATAATTAGAAAATGTATATAAATTACCTGAGGACATTTCTAAGTAACAAAAAGAAAGCTTCTTTAGCGGAAGGTAGAAACGATTGACCATGAACAGCGATCATAATATAAGCATTGGTATTCAAAAATCTCATGAACTTTTCTAAAACCCAGAAACAGCAACGACAAGTCCTGGTAACCAAATTAATGATTAAACAAACATTATTATTATTAGATAATAGAAACAAGATTAAGTCTTAATAAATTAGGTAATTAAATAATCCTCTTACCACATAATAGCTTTAGCGAAAGAACTGTTTGTATATTTTTTACACTTTTCGTAAACATATTCGATAGCCAATCTTATCATTCTAAACATCGCCAAGATTAATGATCCAAAGGCAATTGAACCAACATGATATCTGTTTAAATAAAAGTAAACAAATTGAATATTTTGTAAATTTAAACTTTTAAGTGTATCTTTCGTGTATTAATTAATTACCGGAATGCTCGATAAGTGCTAATAGCTACTGGAAATGGGGGAGTCTCATTTTCCTTATTGAAGGTCCAATAATAAGATGCAAAAGCACCAGCAAGAATTAGTTTAACTGTAAATGAGATAAAAAAGTAAAGTTAGTTATCCACATGAAAGAAATTGATTAATTAAGCAAATTACCCATTCCATTGATGAAAAACAGAAGCCAGAAAGTCATAAAGATATTGTAAATTTGAGATGAATTGAGAATCATATTGGAAAATGGAATGTATTTTATACATTGTGATCCATCGGTAAGATTGTAAGTCTAAAAAAGATAATAAAAAATAAACATTAGAATCAACATGTTATTAAAATTCAATGATCTCCGATGCATACAAATGGATCACATCTCAGTCCTTTATCGGATGTTTGATTTGAACCAGATATCCGGTACGTTGGCTTTTGAACAGCGGCAATCATTATTGCAACAAAGATTCCAACAATAATGACTAGAGTCTGTAAAATGTACGGCACAAGAGGAAGGAAAAGAGTTGATTTGGCATTATCCAGGGCCCTAATCAAGGAAATAATCACAATTATAAAAGGTAATATTAATAAATAATTAATATAAACAATATGGAAAGAAAAATTATTTATAATTATGCAAATAAGGTTGACATTACTTGCTGGCTTCTTTGATTAGTGATATGGCAATGTTAACTCGCTTACGGAGGAATACGAATGTTACAGCAATCAGGAATGAAACAATTCCACAGATAATTGATAAAATGAGCCATGTTTTCTTGTTCATAAGGAATGAGTGTAAATTAACTCTAATTATATCAGAGAAATCAATCTTTAAATCGGCAGTGTAAACATCTTGATCATCCAACTCGTCTGGAGACAACGATTTAAGCCAAAAGTATCGCCGTAAACAACCAACAACCGCAAGAGTTGATAAAACGAGAACAGAAAACATTGAAAACCAAATCATGGGAGCAGCCAAAGCTTGAAGTAATAAAATCCATATAAATGAGATTATCATTGCAACACAAAGAGCTCTGAGAAGAGAAAAACAATTGGTACAATTAAATTCAATGATAATGTCAAGTTAATTGGTAGGAAAGAAAGTTAAAAAAAACTGACAAACTTACACAAGAATATGTTTCCATACTCTTCCTAAATCTTCAATTGCATTGTCTCGGATATCAGCTAAGTTCAGCAGTTCTGAAAAGCCTCTAAATTAAAGTTAATTATTATATCAAAAAAAAGAAGGTATAAACAATTAGTAAATTGTAACTTATATTAGAGATCAGTACAACTTACTTTCCAGCACTTGCAGCCATTGTTGCGTTGATTGTACCTCCATCATCGCCTTTCATGTCTCTTCCCAGATCGTCTATAATAGCTTTAGATCTGTTTGAGAAAGTTAATGCTGATGGGACGCATCTTCCAACCACTGAATAATATTAATGAGAATAAAAGAAAAGAAGAAGAAAAAAAAATGGAGATGATATTTGTTCTGTTTAAAATAATTAACCATGTTATTCTCAGGTAACATGGTTAATGCTCTAGATACCTTGTTTACTCTTCTTGGAAGGCAATTTTAAGACTTTTTTTTTGAATGATTAGGACAAATTGGAAGCGGATCACGAAAAATTGGGTGGGGATTAGAAGAGGAGATGAGATGAGGTAGGGACAGAATTGGAATATAGCGAGATAATAATAGAAGATAAATTTCAAATTTAGTATTCATTTGATCAACAAATAGATTAGAATAAGCATTTCGCTTTATGGTTAATAAGAATTGGTTAATCATGAGAATGGACTCAGATAAAGCTGAAAAAAGGATGGATAAAGTAACGTTTAAATTACTAATCGATGCTTACATGGTTCACTTTTGAAATAAACTCGACCGCATTTCTTTGCACGTAACAGATCAGGTATATTCTCAAGGATCAACTGTTCATCCTAAAATAGAGTAAACAAAGAATTAGTTATAATTAAATTGAAGAGAGAATTTGTTTTTCGATCATTTTAACCTGAAAAACTAACAACGAACCTTAACATCATAATCGCAAATCAATTTTCGACGAACTTCTTCTTTTCTCTCTTGTGATTGTGCATTCCAAATTAGTGGATCTCGATAATCGACGAAACTTTCTGAAAAATCTGGACATTTCGTTACACAAACCTGAACAAACAAGAAAAAGAAAAGAAAACAAGTAAAAGATTAAAATCAAATGGTTTGAAAACTAATCAATTTCATGCAACAAGTAGATTATAAAATCGATAAAGAGAAGGGAAATTTTCTATTCTGTTGAACAGTTAATACTTATTATCAAATACGAACCTGAGTAGTGTTACAACCTTTACGAAATGCATTGATTTTTGCACATTGCAAAATGTCAAAGAAATACAGATAAGGTTTGTCTCTGTTAGGGTTATGGTCAGTTGTAAATGGATCAACCAGATCAATCAAAGAGAAGAAAAAAAAATGAAAGGAAGAGAGAAAGAGAGAGAAGGAAATACAGTTAGTCAATTGAGAAAAAAATGAAGCATAAATAATTCATCAGTAGTTAAATTGCAATAAATATGTACATTAATTCATCTCTTCCACATATTCGTCCGTAGCTGTCACTTGGATATATGACTCGTTCAGGGTCTCCAAAACGTACGGCTGGAAAAACCAGAACATTGAGAAAGAAGAAACAAAATTATTAGAAAAGAACAAATTAAAATTGAGAGAATTGGATAGCATAGAAACAGAGAAGAAAGAAAAACAAAAAGAAAAGATCACACGGGATAAGAATTTCGTAATTGGAAACCAGTTGATTCTCTGGGTTTCTTTTTTTTCTCACTTATCACATGATACAAGTAAATATTTAAGTGAATTTAACGAAAAAGAACAAGAAAATGAAATAAAGACAGTTGTTCCATTTCAATGTCAATCTTGTTTCCATTGTTTATAATAGACTATAGATTAATGACTAAAGACCAAGTTTACTCACCAACTGCAGCAAGGACAATCCAAGCGCCTATGAAGATGACGAATAGATAGAAACAGTAAAGATCTGTACATGAACGCGATTTAATTGGACCACGGAAATCAGCATCATATTCAAATGGTTCACGAAGATCAGGATCGGGTGATTCGGTTTCTTCTGTCATAGTGTAATCATTAAGTGTAAACTATTGGAACAAAAAACACAAATACAATCCTGAAAATGGGAAAAAGAGAATCAAATTTCACTTTTTGTCACAATTTTTTTTTTCTTTCACTTCACAAAAGTGACAACAAGTTTAACACAGAACAAAGAATAGATAATTTTATCAATCAAACAAGTGATTCATCAAGAGACAGATTAGATAAACACCAAACTTGATCAATTAATTGTTGCTGTCAGAATCTAATTAAAATACCAAAAAATCAACAATCCAAAATTTAGATTCCAAATTTCAAATTTTTTTCTTCCAACTGATGATCAACAGAGAGAATAAAACTTAGGCCAAGCCCACAATCGAATTCTCGTCAGCGCCATCTATTGGTTAGAAAAGAAACTGAAAGGAGTAAAATGAGTGAAAGTTTAACTTTTTCGTTCCTAATAATTTTAAATTTAATTAATATTACATGTGAATTAAAAATCTAATTTTGTGTTATTATTGTACATCTTATTACACGGACCAAGTTTATATCAAAATTATGATATTTCAACAGTTACTTTAGTTGTTTTTGTTATTCTTAAAACTGAGGCTCTTATTGCGTTGTAATAACTTGAACCAATTTCTTTCCAGGTAATCAAAGGAAACTAACTAATGAATAAATTGTAAATTATTTTTTGTAAATCGAAAGGATAGTTCGATGCCTGCGGGCGATTATTAAGGTGGCTGTAATGTTTGAAGCATTCATCAGGAGGTGTTAATAAAAGTAAACCAAAAAGGTAAACAGAAGGAAAGATTAACTTTCTTCGCTCCTGGTAGATTTTAATTTAATTAACTTTACCTGTGAAAGGGACTAAAAGTGTTCGGAAGAGAATAGAAAATAAGTCGACCAATTATACTCACTGATTATTAATAAGAACTTCTTCAGGGATATTGACGCTTAGATCATCGTCACAATTAGATGTATTCTTACGAATAATACACATAATATTTTGGTGAAAAGTCACAAAGGACAACCAGGAAAAGATGGCGAAACCAGAAAGTCAACAAATGTAAACCAGAAAAAGACCAAAAAATTGATAATAAAATAAAAGAATAGAAGATGAAAGATGGAAAAGTCGAAAAGAATATTAAACCCACACAAATGGATTTAAAGAGAATCTAATGGACTATATTGGAAAATCAATCAAGAGAATCAATAAAATGAATAAAAATAAATAGAAATAAATAATCAATAAATTATCTTTTTCAATGTCAGCTACAGATCAAAGAGTGATAGCTACCTATTAGGGTGTTCAGAACAAACTGAGCCAAATTTATTATTGAATAATTTTTAAACTACTTGATTAATTTAGTCAATATTCTGAAATATAATAGAAAATGGTTCTAATTTTATGTTCTAATTAAAAATTTTTTTATATTATGATTAGTTTTCGAGAATTTGAAAAAAATATCGAATTTGACCAAAAACTCTCTTTTAAGAAGTTCGGAGGGTCCTAGCGAATTTATTTTTTGGTCGAATTTTTTTTCAAAGTGAACAATCAAATTCTCTAATATCCTTTAGTAATTTTCACTAATTAAGAAAAATTAATTCAATCAGGTAAAAATTTAGTAAGCGATTGAAGTCAAAAAAGTCAAAAAAATCTTCCAGACGAATCAAAGGGGGGAGTATTACTTTTTGCTCAGAATTCGACATTTTTGAAAATTGTCTTTTTTTACATTTTTTTCAATAATCAATAAATTGGTTGCTTAATTACAACTTTTTTTGCACCAATATAATTTCTAATGTTTGAGCATTATATTAAAGCAAAAATGACTCAAATCTGATAATTAGTTAATTATTTAATCAAAAATAAAATTGGCTCAGTTTGTTCTGAACAACCTAATATTACTCTTTGGCTACAGATACTCACCTTGTCTCTCATCTTGATTGTCACTTTATCGGCACAGTATCAACATTTTAAAAAGTCGAAACAAAACAAATCGATCAAAAAGAAAACACTAACAAATGTGATCTCATTTTCGAGGTAAACATTTTGATCAAGACAATCAGCTCATTAGAAGATGAATTAATTTTGATTACAATTATGTATTCTAAAATCACCAACATTTACAACTCATATTCTATTTGTACATTTTGATTGCTAAGTTTTCATTCAATAATATGATGAAATTCTGATGAAATTTTCAGGAGAAAAAAACGAAGAACTGAGAAAATGTAATTCGATTGAAAAGTTAAAACATTTCTAACGAAAATCATGTCACCTTTTCCCGTTATACTTTCGTTTTTGCTAGATCTTCAATTCTCTGTAAGAATACTAACAATTTCCGGATCCGTTAGAATTGCTTATTTGAGTTTTACTTTTAGAGCCTCCTGATTGTGGTAAAACAATAATAGCAAAGGTTGTTGCTTCTTAATCTAATGTACCTTTCCTTGCGATGGTTGGAACGTAATTCATTGAAATGATCGGTGGATCGAGTTAGAGATTTGTTTAAGGAAGCTCGAGAACGAGCACCATGTCTAGTTTATGAAATTAACGCGATCGGAAAGAAGCGAGATTAGATCTGATTAGATTTCAATTCAATCCTTCGAATCGATACAATAATAATTACCTAAATGGTGAATGTTCACAAAGTACAAAATTCGTAGTCTTTTTACCGACGTAGTAAATATTGAAATAGATTCCAATCCAATAAAAATCAATTACATAATCAAACCTGTTGAAACAGTAACTCGATTCAAAGTGATACATAATTGAATCGTGTTAACATTATTTTCACGATCATCTAGTTACCTAAATTTGGGAAAACTTCACGATTCGTGTTGGAATTGTTCAACTTGAAGGCTAAATTACTTAGAGGTGAATATTAAAATTCGGGCCCGTTTCCTGTCCGTAATCGTAAAAGAATCCAATCAAATTGTCTTGGAAGGGATTGTCAAACCAAAGTAGAAATGTATCTCATAGTTGAGGTTGAGAAAAGATTCAATTTGATAATCGATTATGGAACTGGATAGATACGAAAAAAGAAGATCAATCAAAATTATTTAGAGATTTTAGTTTGTGAAAAGGTGAAACTGTTGATTAGATTCATTGGAGTTTCGTTCGAGTTAGGAGTTAGAAGCTCCTTCTCCAAAACTTGAGAGAATTTTCTCTCTCCGATCTGTCACAGTTCGTCCAGTAAAAAACCAAGGAAATTCGACCTTATCAGAAAGAACATAATTAAGAAGAGAGATTCTTTTGAGAAAGATATTAAACTATTGAAGGAGCAACAAGTAAATGTTATTCTGATGTTGTCCACGGCTCCTTTATCCAAATCAATAGCACGACCAATTGCATCTCCTGAAGGTCAATATTCACCGTATTTATCGATTGTTAGGTTCCGTTTTCTCATTTGACTTCATTCAAAACCAAAGAGCTTCGATAGCTGATCAACCAACTCGCACAATGACTTTGGAAACGAACGTAACCTCGTAAGTCCATTTTCCTTTGAAAACGACATTGAATCTAAAGAGAAAACCAGACTGACCAGAGAGATATCGTTTCTCAGAGCCCATTACAACTGATCCAATACTTGACATTCATTCATTTAAAGATGGATTATCTTTACCCGATAGATGTTCAACCAATCCCAATCTCGCCGATATTTCAATTGAGAAAATTGTATCATCTATAAAGCATTTAAATGCTCTTAAACGGAGGAAAAGAGCTCGACCTCATAGTCGAGTAGATAACTTATTAAGCTTAGAAAAAGTTTTTCTATTCTATTTTTGCTTTCTCTCTCATTCTTTTGGTCAAGTCAAAGTTTGGTAACATTTTTACCTTCGATGTTGACGCAGTCGTGGCCTAATGGAGAAGGCGCTGGCCTCCGGAGCCAGAGATTGTGGGTTCGAGTCCCATCGACTGCGACACATTCGTTTTTACAACTTCGAACTTTTTTCCCTCGTTTTTCTCCTTCACTTACTTTTAAAAAGTCGAAACAAAACGCATCGAATCAAAAAGAAAACACAAACAAATGTGATCTCATTTTCGAGGTAAACATTTTGATCAAGACAATCAGCTCATTAGAAGATGAATTAATTTTGATTATTCTAAAATCAACAACATTTACAACTCATATTCTATTTGTACTTTTGATTGCTAAGTTTTCATTCAATAATATGATGAAATTCTGATGAAATTTTCAGGAGAAAAAAACGAAGAACTGAGAAAATGTAATTCGATTGAAAAGTTAAAACATTTCTAACGAAAATCATGTCACCTTTTCCCGTTATACTTTCGTTTTTAATAGATCTTCAATTCTCTGTATAAATATTAACGAACGAAATTGATCAGTTCATTTTAATTTTCTTTTTCTTTCTTTAAGGAGTCAATCTCTTTGGATCTCGAGGGAACAGACTAACTTTACGAATATTGTCCAAACCAAGGAAAAGCATTGTAACTCTTTCAAGACCAATTCCGCCGCCGGCATGAGGTGGACAACCGAATCTAAAAGCATCAATATAACTTTGCATCTTCTGTGGATCTGTTGATTAGAATGAGAGTAGAAAAAATTTTATTACAATACAATCAACATGTGTAAATGTCAGTAACTAAATAGTAAATTTATCTAGGTAGACAATGGAGTTTAATTAACGTTAATTGTGTTAAATTAATTAAGCTTTTGATCTTCTCTTCATCTCTATTTGTCAGATAAGAGGGGAAAAGATAAGCTACCAAAGAGAGAAAAGGTAACAATTAGAATAGAATTAAGTTTCTCACCTATTCCATGAGCTGCAATTTGTTTCATCAAAAGTTTTGGATCGTGAACACGTTGAGCTCCAGACATAATTTCCTCACCTCTCATGAAGAAATCATAAGAATTTGAATATTTCTGTCGATAGAAATGAAAATATACATAAATTGTGATTATAGATTTTGAAAATATTTCGGTTATTATGATGATTAACTTACAGAATTGGTTGGATCGGGCATAGTGTAAAAGGGTCGGATTTTGAAGGGAAATTTATCAACGATGAAAAAATCAGTATCGTATTTGGCTTTGATTAACTTTCCGAGTAACTTTTCATTAGCGGTTGTCAAATCATCTTCATCGTCCATTTCTACACCAGCCTCACGTAATAATTGAACCACTTCGGGAAAATCAAGACGTAAACTTGGTTCTAAAAATTTAAATGGCTCCGAATGATATTGTCGACGGACAATCTCAATTTCTTCCTTGTACAAAATGGACAATCCCTTGAAAATGGCCACAAATAGACGATCAAGTACATCGAGAACTTCATGATAATGATAATTAAAAGCCATCTCTAGATCGACTCCAACAAATTCTGTCATATGTCGATGGGTATTTGAATCTTCTGCACGGAAAACAGCACCAATTGTGAAAACCCGATCAAAATCAGCGGCAATGGCCATTTGTTTATACAATTGAGGCGATTGGGCCAAATAAGCTTTCCCCTTGAAGTAAGACACTTCAAAGACATTGGCACCACCCTCACTGGCAGCGGCGATAATTTTTGGTGTATGGATCTCAATGAATCCCTCTCGTGATAAGGTCTCACGGAAAAGTTGACATAAACCTGATTCTATACGAAATATGGCCAAATTGGTTGGTGTTCGTAGGTCAATAACTCGATTATCAAGTCGAGTATCTTGATTAACCAAAATATCAGGTCCATTTTCATCACCACCACCTTCAGGTCTAGAAGCATCTTCTATTTGTAATGGTAACCTGGCTTCTGATTCACTGACAACGAATACCTTGTGTACCGAAATTTCAACCTCCGATTGAGAGCAACTTTCAACTGGTTTAGGTGCTTTTTTAACGATCCCTTCAACATCAACCAGCGATTCTCGAGAAATGCCAGAGACAAATTTCAACATTGACTTATCAACAGAATCCGAAACTGAGAGTAAACATTGAATAGTATATGATTGCTGGCGAAGGACAAAGAAACACTGTTTACCCTTTGACCTGATGGTGTGAACTCGTCCTCGTAACCAAACAATTGTCTCACGAATACTTGGATCAAGCGCTTTAACAGGAATCAAAGTCCTTTCCGGTTTCTCACTTGACTGAATAATCGGATAAACACCATACTGAACATTAACAACCGGTGAATCCATAATTCTAAGAAAGAGATGACGCACAATAATCAGTGGAAAATTAAGTACAATCAGACAATTTTTAATTACTTGGAAAAGAAAATAATTAACTCAATCAGCCACAAGTGAAAACAATTAACTCAAACACATCTACAAATGAAAATCCAAACAAATGAAATCAAGAAGAAAATATCATTTATACAAAGAAAAGCGGTAAATTCAAATTCAAATTCCAATTAAATTCTATTCGAGTTTCATTAATTGCCAATTTAACTTAAATCTAATCACAATTAAGGCATCAAAAGTTTCGATTCTTAATTATATCAATCGAATCGAATCATAATTAGTGTCAATTTGATTGTAAACTATCTAAAATTTAGCAGGAAGTAAATTATCAACTAGAAGATGATTTAATCATTTCGATCACAATTAACTTTAATTGGAAGGATAAAATCAAATCGTATGAGTTAATTATTAGTTAAATTAAGAGATTAGTTTTATATAATCAAGTTAACCATAAAAAGAAAATAAAAAACAATCACAATTAGTATAAAAAATATAATAAAATCTTTATAAAGATTGAAAAAATTGTACAACAATCAATTGATTTGATTAGATTGGTTAACTTAAAAAGTAAACAAATTAAATTGTTTGGTCTTAACTTGATGATGATGATGATAATTACAATATTGTATTTAAATGCTGTTTAGGTTAAATATTGACAACAATTAGCAAGAAGGGAAAAGTAAATATTTTGGTGAATATAAATTGTGTCTTAATTTTTACAGAATCAATCAGAATTATCTCATTATTTCAGGTGAAAAACAGCAATTTAATCACTAACAATGAACTGATTAACGTGATTAACGGTAAATTAATCACGGATGATGATCCTGAGCTACAAAACTCTTCACTTGGTGTTGACCAAACATCGTGGTCCTTAAATCGTATCGGGTAACCACATTCAACGCCTTTAATTGCGTTCTCACGGATCCAACGGGCGAATCGCGATTTAGCAAAATTACAGGTACAATTAATTTCTATTACAATTAACCATTGATTAGAAAGACCAAGCAAGAAAAAAGTAAGAGGAAAAATAAATTAATCATCTTGTAAGATAGAAAGTAAATTGTGTTTACCCAATTGAGAGCATGTTGGTTGTTGATTAGTGATTGGAATTGTAATTGGAATTGATTAACTTACTGTTTAACATAATTTTTCGAACCCGATGGAGACTTCGAGAAAGATCATTGGCCAATCCCTCGGAAACCGATTGAATCTCATTGTCGGTTAAATCAAGAATTTCAATCTTCATGAGAGCGATAATTGCTAAAGGGATTGACCGTAATTTATTTTCTCGAAGTGATAATTCAACCAAGGAATCGTCAAGATGATGAAAAGCGGCCCGAGAAATACTGTAAATGCCAATATCGTTCAGCCAAAGGGTTTGAAGTCCATTCATACCGTCATGGAAAACATTTTCAGGTACCAGGGTGTAATTTTCATTGAACAATTTAAGACTATCAAGATTACCAAGAATCTCAGCTGATTCCCTGATAACATGAAGGTCAATCGATGTATTATCCAGAACAAGCCAACGAATATCAACAAGTCCACTTGGAAGATCAGTCATATCTTTCAGATTAGAATCACGAACTTTAAGATGAACTATTGGGGTAGAAGATTCAAAATGTATCTCATCGATGTCCCGGTGCAGGTCACTTCCCGTTGTCTCTGAACATTCAACACCCAAACCAAGGACATCACCATGATCATCAAGAACATTGAAACATGAACACTTACCTTTAATCTCGGTATTGAAACGATCATCACAAGATTCAGTGATTATATTATTCAATCTGGACAATAAAGTTAAACAGATAATTAAAAATGAAATTGGATTAAAACAATTCGCAACCACTAATCCTAAAATCATCGTTTTAATTACAATTAAAACTAAGACCTAGTTAAGATGATGATGATGATGATGATGATGAAGGAGGAGGAAGAAGATGATAATAATTATGATGGTTAATTAAACTACTAATGGGAAAAAGTAAAAAAGGTTAATCAACTGGTAATAATAAGTAGATGATGATCAAATTAAATTGTGATTAAATGTATATCAAGATGATAAACACATTAATCCAATGGTAAATAAAGTAAACACTTTACAATGATTAACAAAGGAGCCTTTGAGTTTCATTTCAACTCTGGTGATAAATTAAATCATGGAAAGAGGGATAATCATGATGATGATGATGAGATTGAAGATGATGATGAAAAGGTAGCTAATTTAATGATGATGGTTGTTGATTGTCGTCAGTAACCTTGGTTATTATTACGGTACAATTGTAGATTAATTGTAAACGAATTAGTGATTTTCTTAATAATATTTTTTTTCTTCGTCTTTATTAATAGTTTCATTTAGTTTCTTCTTGATATATTAACAGTTATTAATCTTATCTTCAAGTTATCATCAATCCCTTTTCGTTATCAGTCACACCCTTGAAATCTAATTATCTGGTCATTATTTATAACTATTGACCAGTTGATCAAAGTTAATGATAATCGCAAGTAAACTAATCAATAGTTTCCATTGATTGTTGAATTAATCTCAAGATACTTACTGGTCATCATTTTGATTAGAATCGCAATTGTCACATTATCATTTCTTTCTCAGTGTAATTAGCTCTATGATTATCACGATTATTGAATTTACATTTATATATATATGTATGCAAATTCATGATCACGATTAACTAATTTAATTACTGTTATTACAAATGCAAAAGAAACAAAAATTAACGAAAACAAATCAATTGTTAATCCATTGGAAAGAAATAAATTTAATGAGACTTGACTGTGATTCTATTGTATTGGTGATCGTAATTGAAGACAATTAAACAAGTTTACTCATTAAACTGTGAAACAATTAACTAAAAAATCACCTTGCAATTGAATTAATTGTTCAATTTGGAACAACAATTAACAGTTAACTCGATGATCCGATCATCTCCACCAGGTAGAGCTTCCAGTTAACCGATCAAGAGAAAAGTAAACAACGTTTTTTCATTTCTCTTTCTCATCTTAATCAATCAACTAATCGTTTGATTGTTAATTTTTGCCAAATTGATTTGTCATTAAATTTCGTTAATCTTCAACAATTAAGAATCGAGAATGTTAATTAATCAGTACTTTTACTCTAATCCTTTGTGAATGTTTTTCTCCATCACCATTGGTGTTTACTTTTGCTTCTTGTTACCGGTTAACTGTTTTTATTTTTTTCTATTCTTTTTTTGTTTGTTTCCTTATTGAGAATATTTTTTGTTCTTTTCTCTTTTTTTTTTGGTGTTTTTTTGTTAAAATTGATTTACTTATTTGTTGGAATTATTTGGCTCAATGTCTGATCGAGGTGATAATCGGATACCCAATCGAGTTGCTGTGTTAACGATTAGTGACCGATGTTCACGAGGGGAAACGGAAGACCAGAGTGGCCCTTTTATTGCTAATTGTTTGACTGAAAAGGGACATCAAGTTGTTAACAAATTCTGTATCCCAGATGATTATTCAATTATCCAGGTAAGTTTAAAAATTTTATTCTATTTTGAATTGTTCTCTTGTACCAAAATATTCCATTTTGTTGGTCGATATTCACACCTCATAAATGGGTCATCTTTGGTAATAATTAGTGCATTGGTCTCTAAATAGGTCCAACCTTTTTCTTTTGTTTGTTAATTTTGTTCTTTTCTCTTTGTTATTTTATTTTATTCTTTTCTTTTTTGTTCTCTTCTCAACTAAAGGAAATTCTCATGGATTGGTCTGATTCTACTATGGTTGATTTAATTGTTACCACCGGAGGTACTGGTTTTACCGATCGTGATATTACCCCAGAAGCAACAAAATCAGTCATTGAACGGGAAACTCCTGGTCTAGTCATCGGTATGATTGTAAATGGCCTTAAATCAACCGACTTTGCAATGCTTTCAAGGTAAGGCAACAATCGAGTTAATTAACTCTCTAATTAATTGAATATATTGCCAATTATTTCACAGGCAATCTCATCTCAATTGAACAAATTTCTTCAAGTTTTCTCTCCCTTTCTCTCAAAGTTCTTGACCTATTTTCGCTATCTTTATATCCATTTGAATGCAGAAATAATCAACTATTACAACAATTAAATTGTTCATTTTTATTTCTTTTTCTATTTCGAAAGACTTTGTGCTGGAATTCGTAAATCAACTTTAATTGTTAATCTACCTGGAAGTGTTAAAGCCTGTAAAGAATATCTAACAGTATTGGAGCCAATTCTTAATCATGGAATTGATCAATTGCGAGGTGATAAATTAAGAGTTAAAGTTAAACACACAGAGATGCAACAACCACGTAAACCGCTTGTATTAACAATTAAAGATCCAAGTAAGTTATTGATAGTTAACTGATCAATTTTGATGAGCAATAAATTGATTTGTTTTTTCACTTGTTCTTTTTTTTTATAACAATTAACCAAATTTACTAGATGTGCCAACTACAATTAACCCACGATCACCAGGAACACCAATAGTACCTTTATCATCATCAACTCCTCTTCCACCCTCACCTGGATCAACAGCGGCAAATAAAAGCTCAACAATGATCCGAACATCGCCAATATTAAAGGTGACCAGCGGCGGTTTCCAGTATCGTAAATCACCATACGAAATGATTACCATGAAAGACGCTGTTAATTGTATAATGACTGAACTTAATTCAACAAGTAAATTGGAGAGTCAGAAAATCATTTTAAAAAATTCAATTGATCTTTTAGATCGTCGTGTCTCAACTGACATTCAATCCAAGGTTGATGTACCTTCATTTGCCGCTTCAATTAAAGATGGTTACGCCGTGATCTCCTCAGATGGTCCAGGTACACGGAAAGTGATCTCATCCTCGATTACAGCTGGACTACCAGCTGATGGTATGTCCATCGACAAGGGATGGTGTGTAAGGATCAACACGGGAGCTCCAGTACCTGATGGTTGCGATGCTGTGGTTCAGGTTGAAGATACTGAGGTCACATCACGAACTGATGTATGTAAACATTTAATTGTCATTATCTAATTTAACTTAATCACATTCAATTTTCAACTATTTCCTTTCATTTACTTTCACTTTTGTTTTATATTACAAAAATAGGAGGAAAAGGAAATGAAATAATAGTTATCATTATTATTTTTTATTATTTATTGAAATTTTCATATCAATGAATAAGTTTCAAACAATATAAATATTTTTTTTCACCTTTAACATTATTATTATTATTATGTTTACAATTGATAGAAATCAAGGTAAAAACAAGATTGAGGTTAAATTACTTTAGGTTGATTGTCTTGTGATAATTTGTATTCCTGTTTTAATTTCAATTGTAATCATTGTTGATATTATTCAATAATTATCATTTATTCATTAAGATAACCCTGACAATGCAACTTTTATATAATATATTTGATTGAATCATGTTTCCAATTGTTTGCCAAATAATAATTATAACCTGATCTTTGTAATTAACTTTCAGGATGGACAGGAAAGTGAGATTTACATTTCATCTGTTCCCAAAACTGGTCAAGATATTAGGTCAAAGGGAAGTGACATCAAAAAAGGAGAGACGGTCATCAAAAGTGGCAATAAAATTGGACCCATTGAACTTGGCCTTTTAGCGTCCATTGGGGTGACCCATGTTCCCGTTTATCGACGACCAAGAGTTGCCGTTTTGTCAACCGGAGATGAGGTAAAAATGACTTAATCATTTTAATACAATCATCTCCCATCGATGGAGGATTATCTTTAATCTCTAATCTCTAACGATTATAATCATTTCCTACTAATCCAATTCAGTTTGAAAGTTAATCATTTAATTAGGAGTTTAACTTGGATTTAAATTATTAATCTCGTAATCATTTACATAACTGGGATACAATTTGTAAGGTTGTACATGAATTTAAATATCTTAATCCAATTGAAAAATCCTTGACTCAGTCAAGTTAATCAGTGAATAATTTTATCGTTCATAATCAAATTAGAATTAACCATCTGCTCAAGCAATTAGATTTTTGTTTCTTTGTCTTAATCAACAATTAACCTTCATGAAAACTAAACCCATTCAGATGCCAATAATCAACAAAACCATTATCAAGTTAAGATTAACTGATTGTATGGAAAACTATTTACATAATGATAAATAATCAATGAAATTTGTTCTAATTACTCGAACAATTTAGCTTCGAGAGCCTGGTGAAAATCTGATCGGCGGTGCAATTTGGGATTGTAATAGGATAACCTTAATATCATTTTTACGTCGACGAAATTTTGACGTGATCGATTTGGGAATTGTTGAAGATGAGATTCGATTTTTGGAAAGTCGAATATGTTCCGGATTAGAAAAATCTGACCTTCTCATTACCACCGGCGGAGTTTCCATGGGTGAGAAAGATATTTTAAAAACCGTTCTAACTCATTGTTTCGGAGCAAAGATTCACTTTGGTCGAGTTAAAATGAAACCCGGTAAACCGACGACCTTTGCTACCTGTACAACAGCTGATCGTCGGCGATTTATCTTCTCATTACCTGGTAATCCAGTTTCAGCTTTTGTTAGCTGTTTACTTTTTGTTATCCCGGTTCTTGACCATCTTTCCGGTCAATCGTCTTGGTCAACATCAACTCTTTCATCGCCAAACAAATTGTACGATATTTGGGATCTTCATCCATGGATCAAAGTGACCATTTCAATTGCTCCAGGTGAACCAAGTAAAATTGTCCTCGATGATAGGCCAGAATTTGCTCGAGCCATTGTCCACTTTGGCGGAGGAGAAAGTGACCTTCCCACTGCCTCTTTAATCAAGGGAAGTCAAAAAAGTAGCCGATTGACCAGTGTAAAAGATGCCAATGCATTGGTACTTTTACCAACTCGAGATGAAGTTCCCGATGGTGTAATCAAAGATAATCACATTACCAAAGCCATATTAATTAACTTTTGATTCATTTACCTTTGTAAACAAAAAGGTAACAAGGATAATTTAGAAGATGAAGAATAGAAGCTAAAATAAGCAACTAGACATATCAATTACTAAACAAGAAACTTTTTCAACTTGGATGGTTTCTCGAGACAACAATTATCAACATTATATTCCCCGACATCAATTACTACTTATCAAAATTTACCTGAAAAATTAAAATCAATTACACACCAATAACAACAACAACAACAACAATGAAATGGATGATAAATGATTAGAAATCATTGAGTAACCAAATGGAAAGATGATGTAATTGTGAAAAAGAGACACAAAATGAGAATAATCAATCAAGGAATGTGATTAAATAATTTTGTCAGAAAAGTTGTCTAATTTAGACAAATTAAGAAAGACATAAATTGCTGTTATAATTCATGCCACAACAATCGTATTCTAAACACACGGAAGTAAAATTTTCGAGGGATAAGAGTAAAAATTATCTCCAGAAAAACATTATTTCCATGTATATATTTATGGTTGTACAAAATTTAACCGACAAGTTGTTTGTGGGCCCAGTTGAAACCGTCGATCATCAAATTTTGAACATCATGTACAACATTGGTAAAAGCTCCTTGAACCTTTGCAAATGAAGCACCTTCCAAATTGATATTCTCGCCTATCCATGATCCTAGTTTGGCAGATAATTGTTTCAAATTTTCCTGTCCTACCGCAAGATAAGTTCCAAATTCAGAGGTGAATTTTACAATTCCATTGGCAATGTAGGGTATAATGACATCATTGGCATACTCTAATTTCAAGGGGATTGTTTTATAAATCCAAGAGGTCACTGGTTCGGAAAGTTGTACCACGTATCGAAAACCAGATGAAAGGTGGCCAGTTAATTTCTCAATGTTTGCTGTCTTGTACACGCTGGCAATCATAACAGGTAATTTACTTGTTACCTCCTTTTCAACTGTCTGATAAACACCAAGGATTCCACTGTTCTTCAGCCATTTACCCGTAACAGATTCTTGAAAGAGAAAAGAGAAAAGAGAGAGAAAAAAAAGAAAGAGACAAATCAGAATTAGATTACACGTATATATAATAAATAGCAGAGTAATTAATAATAGAATCTGTTGATGATCAAAATCAGAAGATGGTGAAAAATTGTCAACGTAATTAAATATGAAAAGAAAGAAATATATTTTATATATCTTTCTCCTAAGATAATAACATCGAAAATTATTCCTCTATCATCGTTTAACATTATCATAATAGAATAGAATATTTATCAACATGAGAAAGTCAATGAACCATCTATGTTCCAAAAAAATGGAGGGAGAATTATAAATATTATCCACAATTATTGTCTCATATCTAATCGATTATCACTAGAGACAGAGACAGAGACAGAGGGTGAAGTGTTTAATGTCCTCACATGTAAAATGGTGATGAGTAATTCACACTAAGGTCATGAGAGTAAAAATCTATAATTATAATAGATCAACAAATGATATATACTTACTTGAAAAGCTACCATGATTTAGAACATCATAATAGACCATAGAACCAACACTGATTAAAATAAATATAAGAGGTATTTTAATACTCAAATTAAATCCAATTGTCATGATTTGTCACAACTAAGGTTATGGCTTTTTAAGAGTGAGATCAATAATAAAAAGAAAGGAAAGGAAAGAGAGAGAAAGAAAGATGAAAGAAGAGAAAACCAGGATTCTCTGACTTTTAGGATGATTTAGAATTTAAACTGTTATTGTCAATCTGTTTACTCTAATCACGATTGTTCAAAAGTTCGATTCACTTTTTAATAGTTAATCGCAGAACCACAATCAAAGAACAAGATTAATTCTAGTAAATTAATTAAAAGAGATTAATAAATAAACGGTAATTTAGAATACAAATTTTTCTCAGCCTTTTATTTTATGGATACTAATGCATTCCATTAATGATGTTGCTTAGCAAACATCATCGGATAGTTTAAAAACTATCCCCCAGGCTTCGCAGCCATCAGATATGGAAAAGAGTAGAATTTGATTGTAACAATTGGCTTTGTGTTTTTAGTATTTTTTGTATTAACATAATTAATATTTTCATTTTTGTTGTTGAGTTAATAATATCATCTTCGTTTAGATTCCAGTTCCAGTTTTGATTGATTCCAAGAATTTGTTCAACATGATCTCGATTGGTTATGATGTGTAATAATAAATTGACTCTTGTGTTACAACAATTTCTTATTGTTATTTTGTTAACATTGTTGTACCATTTGTATGGTGTCCATGGTGAATAATAGTACAGGTTTGTTGCCATTTTTGGGTTTATTAAAATATCCGTTGATTCCTCTTGATTTCTAATTTGTATTATTATTTCATTGACAGTTTCATCTAATACCATTTCCATTTCCGATCTGGTTAACCATGGGATTTGTATTTTTCGTGATTCCTCTGGTATTTTAGATGTTTCCCATTTTTTAATACAAAATTTTATTCCTTGGGCCTCTTTAATAATAATATGGATCATGTCTTTTGCTGTATTGGAATCTCCTTTGATTAGTGACCTCGCTAAATCCTGGTCCATGGGAAGATGATCAGCCCCAACTTGTTTTGCCATCTTGACCAATAGGTAAAAGCATTTTATTTTTGTTGCATAGAGTGATTTACTTTTGCCAAGGTCAATAATAATAATTTGATTATTTGTTTGTACTTTTAGTTTGGCTTCTGGTATTAATTGTATTTGTATTTTTGGTATTTGACAATCACATGGTTGATAAGTTAATGTTTTATTAACTTGGGTCCTCCAATCCTCCATTACTTCAGGTAAAATATTAATTTTTTGTTTGTTAAATTTTGTAATTAATATTTGTGAATTGTTATGTTGTACGTCCCATTTTAGTAACCACTTCAACTGGATCTCTATTGGTAATTTGGATTTGATTATCGTTTTCATCGCCCATTTATTAGTGTTTTGAATACCTAATAATTTGGAGAAATTATCATGATATTGTTTTTGGAAGTTCAATCCATATTTTTTCCAGTTTTCTTGTAATAACCAGTCGAATCCAATGTTAACCATTTTAGATACTATTATTGAGTTTACTATTAGTTTTTTCAAATCTGGTTTCAAGTATCTGATTTTTTCCATAGAGAATTTGAAGGTTTCCATAATTTGACATGATTTTTGATCTATCATTTGGTTCATCGCTTTGATAGTATTGTGGGTGGTAATTTGGAAACCTAAAATTTTTTGTTGTGTTTTTTGATGGAAATTTACAATTGTTGTTTTATCGACGTTGATTTTCAGGTTGATCTTACTAAATTCCTCTGTTATTATTGGTATAATTGTTTGTGCTTGTTCAGGTGAGTTTATTATTGTGTAAAGATCATCTGCATATCCAATTATATTAATATTTCTGTTATATTTCAGGTTCTTGATGATTTGATCAGTTGCTAAGATGAATAGTAGGCCTGAGATTGCCGAACCTTGTGGGACACCAATTGATTCTTTTCTCCACCATATCTTCTTGTTATTATTGAATCTTAACCATCTCGTTGAGCAAAATGATGTTAATAATTCACCCAGTTGTCGGTCATGTGTTGTTATTAATCGAAGAGCTTGGGTTATATCAACCTCATCAAACGCTTTGGATAGATCTAACATTAGCAGGTATTTAGATTTTATTTGATATTTAAATAATAATGTAAATATGAGATTCACTCTCGATGATTGTTTTAAATATGCAAATTGTGTGTTTTGTGACATTATTTTTGGTAATAATAAGAGAAGTCTATCTGCTAAAATTTTGTCGACGATCTTTAATAAATAGTTAGGTGATTTCACTAATCTTATTGATTTGTTATCAGGTTTAATAATCAGGCCAACTCCATATATACGAATTACTGATGGTATTTTTCCAAGTATAATTATTTCATTTATCACGCTAATTATTTTTTGTTCATTTAATTCATAGAATTTTTTCCAAGAAGTTTTGGTGAAGTCATCGGCGTCTAACGTTGATTTTCTTGATATTTGCTTTAATTTTTGTATCTCGTATTGGGTTAATGGTTGATATTTAAATTCAGCTTCATCATCGCTGTGTATTGGTTTATTAGTTGTAAAGGTTTGTAAATGTTTATTATATGACGATTGTAGTTCAATATTATTTAGTAGATCACTTTCACTTAACATTGGTTGTTTTGAATGAATAATATGTTTTTTAATATAATCCCAATCGTTTATATTATTTTTTGTTGTTTTGTTATTATTTTCACTTGTGATTAATCTCCTTTGTCTTCTATTTCTTAGATCATTCACTGATTTTTTGGCTCCATTTATCCATGTTCCATGTATCGTTGGATGATTAATAATTTGTTTACAGTTATGAATTAGATTATGGTATTTATTAAATTTTCTATGATCCATTTTCTTTATTTTTAGGTCCCAATGATTTATATATAATCTTCTTTCTAACTTTTTGTTTATTTTGTTGATTTGCAGTTTGGTTACCAGTAAATTGTGATCATTATTATTCATTATCACTATTTTGGAGGATAAACATTGAATATCATTTTTAAACAACACAACATCAATCCAAGATTTTCTTTTCAAGTCATTTGAATTAAACGTTGGCGATGATTGAGGATTAAATGCTGAGCATAATTGATGGTTGGTTATTATTGTTTCAATAATACTGTTAAATTTTGGGTTTGGTGACCAGAGCTTGTGTTGGAAATTCATGTCTCCTGATATTATTGTTGTTGATGTGATCATATTCTCAATTTTCATCATTTTTTCACTCATATTATTTGGTAGATAAACAGCTATTAGACGAAATTGTAAATGTTCAAGTCTAAGATCACAAACAATTAGATCTACATCAGGTTTGTATTGACGAATTAACTTTATATCACTTGAGTAGCACACTAGGGTTCTATTGTTAGAGATGAAATTATTATTTTTTATATTTTCACTTATGAATCTTTGATTTGGTTCATTCACTATGATCAATGTTGATTTATTTTTATTTTGAAATAGTTTTTGTGTTAGAGTAAATTGTTTATTTACGTTGAATTGAATTACATTAATCGCGTTCATTTTTATCATGCTTTTATTTTTATTAGCTTTTAACTCCATCTAGTTTATATATTTGGTTACAATTTAAGGACGCTCGTCATTTAAAATTGTTGCTTTGGTTTATTAACTTGTTTTCATCTAATTAATTGTTCATTTCATTGATTGAAGATATTAATTATTTTTCTTTTTATTTACTATTTATTTATTATTCAGTTGTCAAGTTGTTATTATCATGGCTGTTCAATTACATCAGATGAGTGGACCTGATAATCTTGATCTTTTACTTTGTGGTCTGTGTAAACATTTGGCTATTAATCCCGTCATACACGACGGTGGTTATAATCAGAATTTTTGCCAACAATTTTTTTGTACTTCATGTGTTAACATTCGTGCCGGTAATAATAATTTCCAACGTGTTAATCGACATGGACGGAGGGAAACAATTTGTGTTCATTATCCTGCTTGTAAGGTTGATTTTAATCATCCTTATTTTCGTAAGCCAAGTGGATTAGAACGGATCGTATTATCAAGCGTTATTATTAATTGTTCTTTTTGTACTCGAAAATACACTGTTAACAATTACTTAAGCCATATTTTTTCTTGTCAGAATAATATTCCTACTAGTGTTATTCCTGGGAATTTGATTCATGTTGTTAATAATAATGTGGTATCTCGAGTTGGTCAACCTCATGTAAACTCTTCACTTCGGGGTTTACGGATGCAAGTTTCTTCTTGTAATCAATTGCGTGTACCTGTTATTGATATCGATCGATATTTTTCATTGAAACTTAGATCAATGAATGTTACCTTCAATATGGAGTTTAACAATAATACTACAGCTTTAGAAGCGATTCAGGAAATTGCTCATAACAATGATATGGATCCTGATAAGGTGGATGTTATTTACTTTAATCATTATTCTTTACGTCAATTTGAATTTGTTAAAGATTTTGTTGCTGATTGTCCTCGTAATGGTACTATTAATATTGTTCCTCGAGATGATTTATTCAGTTCAGTTAATCATAACATTCGACTTTGTATTATGGGACCTTATCCTGAACCATCTAATTGAGCTTTTCAAAGCTATATTGATTCATATTTTGTGAAAATTTTCATTTGGAGCGTAATTTTGTTTTTCATGTAATTCATTTATGTTTATCATTATTATTTAGTTAATCAACATTTAGTATTGAAATTTACTATTGATTTGAGATAATTGTTATCAACGAGAGAAATATTTGATCATTAATTTTGATATTATTTTTATTATTGTAATCATGAAAGAGAAAGAATATTAAATGAACATTGAAATGTATTAAACTGAATATAAACTTGTTTTGTAATGATTGGAAAAAGACAAAATAATAACATAAATGGTTATTGATTGAAACTCAAATAATAATAAATTGTCATTTGTTGGAAATGAGCAAGATATTCATTCTGTTTGAATGATCTATCTCATTAGATATTGGTATTGGAATACATTCTTTGCAGTTTCTTGCTCAACTTTCTTCTTATACAATTGACAATCAAGTGTACCTGGTTGATGATCATTTTGACCACAGGTAGCACATTTTTTATTATTTGGGTTTTCACAAAAATCAATATGATGTAACTCAGCACAATTTTTACAAACACTTTGTGTTGTACATTGTGAACGCCAGTGATTGAGTTGATGACATGATGAACAATACATTATATCAAAGTGATCAACTGCTTTGTAGTGTTTAATTCCCATTGATATGTATCCATGGTTGTTTTGAAGTTCTGATCTGACTGCTGGTGTAACTTGAATAATAATATCTCTATTATTTTTGTTGTTTTGATTGTTTTTCGCAGGTTTAATAATTGATATATTTTGTTCATTCATATACTTGTTGAATTTGAACATATTCAACAGGATATTATCAATAATATCGTCACCTTGTAGAATCCCAATGATTCTGACTCTTGGCATTTTTTGTTCAAACCTTTTGATCTGTAATTGGGTTATTATTTTCTCAATTGTATTAATAGTATTATCCAATTTCTCGAACGACGTGGCTTTGATTTTCACTGTTTTCTCATTGATAAAATATTCAATTTCCTTGTCACTTGGAATGTTACCATCATCAATTTCTTGAGCAATTTTATCGTAGAGCATCTTTGGTGTTGCATTTTGTTGAGAGATCAAAGCTATTGGAGATGCTTTAATATTTGACCATTTGATCCAATTAATTGGAATGTTGGATCTCTTCTTTTGTAGTTGATCAAACGCTTCCTCTGTTTTTCTTTTGTCATGACGCATTATTATTGAACCAGCTTGTCTTGGTTGAACCGGAATAATTAACGATAGTTCTTCCTGATCATTTTCAATAACTTCCATGGCTGTTTGTAGCCTTTCCTCTGTGGTTTCTTCTAGTTCCATATTATTGTTGTTCATCTCTTGAAATTGTTTCAATTCACGATTTAGGTTGTTAAGGTGGTCCATTTGTTTTTTATTTATTTTCAGTTTTTGTTGAATTTCTTTGTCAGAATGAAGTTGGTTAAATTGATTGATGAAGATTTGTCTTGATGGGTCTGGTAGTTTTTGAAGGTAATTTTTGAATAGGTCTTTTTTTATTCCTTTGAGGATTTCATGTCTCACAATCCATTGATCAATGTTACTCATTTTTATTTGGGTGATTAACTGTAATTCACAAATAGAAAAATAATAATAATAGAAGATTTAGATTGATGTTGATATTAGGTAGAATAATAAATTTTGTATGTTATTATTAAGATGAGATGTAAATAGGTAATGTTAGTTTGATTTGATTTGTTTCTTTTTATATTCTTTTTTGTCTCCATAGAGATTATATTTTCCGTTAATAGTAATTATTAACGTTAAGTTTTGAATCTTGCCGTTATCGGTTTGCTAAAAGGATTGTATTTATTAACAGAAAAAATCAAAATCTTAAAAGAAAATTAAGTTATTTTGACCGTATTACTCACCTTGGTCACGCTTATTCTCATCAGATTTTTGTAGGTGTAGTACATGGTCGTTTTTGTTTCGTAATTTATTATTGTTTGGTAGCTTTTTATTTGAAGTTCTTATACTCAAACTGATCCAGGGGAAACACTACACAATTTATAATATTTTTCACTTTATAAAAATTCTGAATTCATGGTAAAATTCATGTAAATTCACCTTAAATAAAAATACTCACAGCCAATAGAAAAAAGAAGGGGTCGTATTGTAATTGCATTCGAAAAACGGTCCCTTAACTTGAGATTTTCACTCGATTCATTTTCTTAGAAATAATTGATTAACAAATTATTGAAAAGAAATTAATTGTTGAGAAATTTAAAGTTAATTGGTAACAGAGAAAGTTTGTTAATTCGATTGTGCTGTTGATCGAATGTTGCAAGTGCATTCAAAGAAGTTGTTTAGAGTTGATTGTCAATTGTTTTCGAATCCGTTTTCATAGAATTGCAACTTTTTGTTTCGATTTTTTAATTTTCTTTTTTTTTCTTTCGTTGATTTAGATTCGTGATTGGATATCGTTGTTTTCCCGGTGATTTCTAGAACTTTTCCTTTGGTCATTTACTGTTGATTTGGAGAATTCTGTTCTTTTTCTTCTTAACGAAGAGAAAAAAAGAAAAAAATTGTTTCGAATTTGGTTATTTGATATTCAATTCGAAAGGACGAAAAGACAAAACATCAACAGAGAAGCGAAAATAATTGAAGGCGAACTTTTTTATTATGAATTGAGACAAAATTCACCAAGACGATGATCCCTTCCAGTTAATAAACTCAACAAAATTATCGTAATTGTTGTAATTAACACAACTAGACGACGAGAAATGATAAACATCATGATTCTCATTAAGAAAAAGGGTAAAAATTAATAAGCCTGTTAATTGTTGGGAAAGAGACGAAGAAAAGATTAAGATAATCAAACAAGAAAACAAAATTATAAAGAGGTGATTAAAATAATTGACATTCTGTCAGGAAACAGAAAAATTGTCTAAACAATTTAGACAATAACAGCAATTAGTTTCTGTTATAATTTATGGTCAACAATCAAAAATTAACCCACAAAAAAGTTAAAGAGTAACAATTATCTCGCCCCAGCGACCACGAAAATGTTTTCATCAACAACAATTTACCAACAATTTAAAATTAATCTACAATACATATCATATCATCGTCCATTTAAAATTATGTATACAAATGTTAACAACAATTTAAAAATTTTCTGTTCTTTTTTTTTATCAAATTCAATTCTTATGTAACTTTTAATTGTAATTATATTTACGCATCTTGATTGTTAATATATATTAACAACAGATTAATTAATTGTTTCAACTAAACAAACTCAATTGAATGTTGTAAAATGCTAAATACTGTCTAGAGAATATGTAAATTGTTATAGTTAATTGTTGGATTGCCAAAATCCATCCACTAATTGTGTTCAACCAACAATCAACCTGAATTTATTATAAGAAACTCAAATTGTCACCATAACCATTGTTATCATTGTCACAGTTGAGAATTGAAAAACCAAAGGCATCCTCATCATCCTCATCATCTTCATCATCATCGTAATCACATTTTGTCATCTAAATTGTTCATTTAACTTGATTGTCAACTAACAAACTCAAGTCTATCTTTGAAAATACGATATATTCAAATCTAGATAAAGTAAACTGGATTAAGCTGATTAACTTGTAAAACCCACAACTAATTATCATCAAAATTGATCTTGCTAATCAACAATTTGAAACTTGACAATATTTTACAACAATTACAATCATTTTGCATTTTTAATTGTCAATTTGTTATGCATGTAGCTACAGAATTGCTAATATTACATTGTAGTTACATTGTAATATTATTGTAATACTTTGATTCTGTTAATTTTTTTTACAATTTAACTGTTTTATAGATTTAGATTAACTCGATCATCTTAATTACAATGTATTCTGACCTAATGGATTAAATTAAAATCTAACAATAAATTTAGAGATGTTAATCGATGATGGATCGTTGAATCATTGAATTAGGATGTTGATCACCTGAATATCATCATGATGATGATGACGATATTCATGGAAGACAAATGATCTCAAAATCTTATTATTTTATTATCATTAACCTTCAGCCTTTGAGATAATTTGATAAACAATTTCAATGGAAAAGAAAATTTTTTCAGTGAATCTAAATAAAGTTTTTCGTTTCAGGAGTAACGATATAAACACTGAGGAGATTCAGTTGAAAACTTTAATTGGAGATAATAATTGGCATCATTAACAACATGAGCTCTTTAACAATCAACAAATTGGACTAAAGAGATTACGTAGAGATATTTATCTTGAGAGAATTAAATTATCACAGCGAAAAACTCGTAAAAAAAGACATTACAAGTTTCAAGCGAAAACAGGAAGCATCTTGATGATATTTTCCCCTCTCTTTGGGTCATAAACTTTCATGTTCTTACATCGATTGTTGGTTTTAATTGTGGCCTTGCATCTTTCGTCTTTGACCTAAATTCAAAATTAATCAGTAAACTTGATAATCCCCATTGACGATTAACTAAAATTTCATCTTCATCTTATTCATCTCTCTCTCTGTTTCTTTGTAACTATCATCATCTTTGAAGATTTGAGATGTTAGTAGCAATTAAGACAGATTTTACTAATTGTTGAGTTAATCACAATTTGATTGAGACCAATGGAGGAAAAAAGTATTCAGACTAATCCTCTGAATTGAGGTGATTCTTGGTTACAATTTGTTACAGTTTTTAATAACATGATAATTGATTAGCGTTTTTGATTGTGGTTAATTGTTACCATTAACCAGTCGTTAAACATTAATCTAGACTGTTGATAATATGATTGTTAGGTGATTCCTTTTAATTGTTATATTAATAGTAAATGGTAAATAATATATATATTTTAGCATCTGATCTTGTCCTCTAACGATATATGTACAAGTTTCAGCTAATTGTTAGACAACAATTAGAAAATAATTAATCATCCTCATGATCATCATACTAACATGAGAGATGAAATATTGTTTGAAATGAACAAAAATTCAGTAGCAAATGTAAACAATTTAGTAACAATTAAGATTAACTTGATTATCTTTTCTAAATCCATTATTATGGTGATGAGCTTAATTATGATGATCGCGTGTCTAATTTGAAAAATGTTTATTAATTTAAATTGTTTCACAATCATAAAAGTTAATTGAGTTACAAATGAGTTGAATTAATTCCAATGGTTTAACAATTAACGAAAACAAATTTCTTTCTCAGTAATTAACTATTTAGATATTAATGATTCAGCTGAGAAACTTTTATGTTTCAATGAACCTTTTTAATTGTTTTCTTCTTACAATACTTAACTATTAGAATACTTTAGTTAATTTTATTGCTAATTTAATCGTTTCAACAATGAGTGACTCGATTTTCATTCAGTTCATAGATGAAATCAATCAGTTGAATTCAATTTTCGGTGAAAACTTTCAAACGATTTTGTGACTGTACGATTTAAATCAATTTCAGAGCGTTACCACAATTAATGATCAGTCTATTGATACAATTTTCTGAAACAAAGTTCAGAACAAAGAATCAAGAACTTTATTCATCTTCGCTAAATGATAGTTTCTATTCAGAATCAATTCTCATGATTAATCCAATCCGATTAGGAGCTTTTTCCGTCAAGGGTTGAGCAAACTTTTGGGAACTTTAAATTAAACATCAACGATTCACCTTCAAATGACCTCCGAATATGTTCACAATTGAGCTTGAGACTTTTTCCTTCAGTCTATTCTAGTTATTATGAGTAGAAATGAACGAAAATGAAATTCGATAGCTGAATCAATAGTAATAATTAAAGAAACAGAATTTGAGTTTCCATTGATTAATCGTTGGGATGAAACAATTGTTTAAGTTCAGAGGTGATGATTTAAGTTCATCAAATGCAAGTATTAATGTTAACCTGAGCTAGAATCTAAATATTGATTCTAATCGATCAACAATCAACTCCTCTGAGTAAATTGTTTATTTTAATCACCAGAATGATGAGCTAACAATGATTCCCTTAAACTGATCAGAGTAATTAGATAATTTTATCAATAAGATTGCGAATAGTGTAACTTAGGTAACCATGTATTCATTTAAATTTTATATCAACATTAATATTAAATTGTCTTTTTAATGGTAGATAAATTGTTGATTAACTACAATCAACTAATTTCATTGATAAATCTATGAGAAAATTAAATGATAATGATTAGTTAATTGATCATCTTAACAACACCAACGACCTATGAATAAATTATTATACTTGTAGTAAGCAATTAAAACTGATCATTAATAGAATCAATTTTTTCATTATCATTTTAATGATTCTGATTGAAGAAACATTGATTGTAGTTAATCATAATCAACTTAATCACTGCTACAATAATAATCTAATCTTAATCTTAATGTTTATTTACTGATTGTTGATGATAAACAATTCTCATTCAATCAATCAAACAGGTAACTCAATTGGAACCCTAATTTTTGTTTATTATCATTTTAACTAACTACATGTAAATCCAGATAGTTAAATTTAATTGTTAACTAACAGATTAGTGGAAAATGATTACTGGTGTCTCAAGATTAATGATTAAACATTTTGTCTTTTCTCAATGAAAGTGAAAACAATTTCGTGCCAAACACACAGATTTCATGGTTATCTGAACATGAAATTTTCGTAACATGATTGTTACTAAATCTGTGAAACAATTTAATAATCATCGGTAACAATTAAAAAAAAACAGTAAGAAAAAAGGACAACAACAACAACAATTAATTTTAATCCGTCCATTGAAATGATGAACACAACTTGAATCAACATAAACACAATCAAGTTAATGGTAATAATTTATTTCTGCTTTTGTATTATTACAATTGAGAAAAGTTTATGATTAACTTTCTAGTCTCAATACTAATTGTTGTTACAATTACTTAATCATGTTTACAATTAAAACAAAGCAAAAAACCACTTACAATTATCAACCATCAAGGATCATCATCATCATCATCATCAACAACGATAATTAAAGTCTAATAGTTGATGGTCAAAAGTTAACAACTTCCTCTCTCATCTCTATCGTGATGACCATGACCATGAATAGCTTGATGATTATCATGATTATCAAAGTTAATCAGTGTCATCAATGTCCAACAGGATAATCATGTTAATTACTTTATTTACAATTAATGGTCAAGAGTTTTATGGGCAATAAGTTTTTGGAGAGAAAAAAAAATTCTCATTCTTTTACAATGAGAGTTAATTTCTTATTATGATGAATAGAAATTAGAAGAAAAAAAGATGAAGAAATAAGTTTCATCTTCTTCTTCTCATCATCATCATCATCATCATCATCCTATGGCCTCTCATCTTCATTCATCATCATCTAAATCATTTGTAAATTGTCCGAGATAATTAACTGACTACCCTCACCTCCTCCTTAATTGTAATTGATCATTGTTCATGTTTTTGCAAGATAAATTTTCAAATCATCTGTAAATTATGATTACAATTTATCATTAATGCTAAATAATAATAGTAATCATCATCTTAATATGTTAATCCAGTTAATTGTCAATCAATCTGCTCAACGATTAACTGACAATTGGTTAACTAATTTACCTTGAAACCACAATTAAATTATATTTCATTATTTTAACCTCAAGGCTTAATCACCAATTAACCTGAAAAACTAAATTAACAATAACAAATGACAATAATATTACAATTAACTAAATATTTAACTTTCATATTATGTTTTAACCATGAGACAATCAATTGATTATATTAATTAAATTTGATGAATGAGTAACATTAATTTTATTTTTCTTGTTCATCATATGTAATCAATAATATTAATCATCATCATGATAATTACAATCATTGTAATTTAATTGTTGATCAATGAACGTTCAAAAGTATTAATAATTACAATTATAATTAAAATAGAAAATCTTAATTACTCAAGCCCAACCTTTAACCAGTTTACAAATTAAATTAAAACTAATCAAACTAATTAAACAATTTGATTAATGTTTATGGTTAAATTAACCAACACTTGATCACATTGTCACCAATTAGACAATCAAATCAAATTGAATTTACATTTAGATTGATTAACAGACAAAGAGAGAGAGACACTTAATTGTAATAATAATCAACTGAAAACTTTAATTGTTTCAACAATTAAAACTTATTAATATAACTCATTAGGAAGGTTAATGTCTTATTAGTATTATTATCGTTGCTAAATTGTTACTGATTAACTTTAAGAATTACTTTTAATTGTCATCAATTAGAAATATGATTATCACCTGTTAACAAACAATTAGTTTAACACCATGAACACAATCAGTGAAATAATATCAACAATTAACGTTGAACACAGAGAAAGAAAAAGTTAATCATATTAATTGTTAATCTAAAACAATGGTCAATGTTTAAGTGTTCAAAGGATGTTGATGAAAAATGATAGTTAATTATAATTGTATGTAAATTGTCAATCTTCAGGTATTTAAACAATTAACAATTTGATATGTAAATTAAGTTAATTGTTTGCACTAAAACAAAAGTAAAATCTTGTTAATGATTTAAATCAACTTCTCACATTGTAAATTTAATAATAATTGCGAAAAGTTTTTCTCTTGCTTTAAAAAAAAGGAAACTAAATTGGATTAACTTTAATTACAATTATGAAAACACTTAATTTCTCACATTAAAGACTAACTTTCTTATCATATTCACAATTAATCTGATTAGATAATGATGAAGAAAATGTGTAACAATTAAAAGCAGAAAAAGTTTTCTTTTAATGATTAAACCATAGCATAGACCTTGAATGTCCAACAGGTTGATTGTTAATTGTTATAACAATTTAAATTGTCTGGTAAAACTATCTCTCGGTCAATGATCAGGTTAACATATACATAAACAATTAAGGAGACAATTTTATCAAATTGTTGATCAAAAGTTAGTTAAGCTAATCACTTTTTACCTTTATTTATAAATTGCTTCATTTCCTTTCAATTCAAACCTCATCAATCACTTGGAAAATTATCTGACATTTTAATCAAAATCAATTTTCTCAGTAATTTAGAGGCTAAATTGTCGTTTAATTGTTAATTATTTGTCAACGAGTGTGTAGCTAACTCATTTTACCTTTTTTCCTTCAACTGCCCTTATCCATTAATCAACAACAATTATAATCATTACAATTTGATTCTGATAACAAATATTATTTTCCTTTCGTTGGTTGAACACAGACAAAAACGTTGAAACTTTTTAAATTTCACGTAAAGTTAATTGTTAATAATCAATTCGCTTAGTTAACAGCCAAACAAAATTAAAACAATGAATTTTAATTAACAGACACTTCACATACTGATAATTTTAGATTATAAGACAATTTGTTTGATTGTAAATCTTGATTGTCAACAACTCTTCAAACCGAATCAAAATTCAACCAATTAAAAACTTTTCACAATCAATCAAATCTCATCTTGGTCATTAATTAATTAATTATTAATAGTTAATATTGTTATAGTATTATAATATATAGTAAGTATTAGTATTCAAGACAATTAGTAAACATAATTAACTTATCATTTTCATTCAAGTTTAATTGAATTAAATTTTTCCATTGATGAAATTGTTTTAGTTTCCCAGGTAAACAAACATTCAGATTGAGATTAACAAAAAAGTTAATTACAACAACAATTAGCTTATTGACTTTGAATAGTAGCAAATAGTCAACAATTAATAATTAATTATCCTAATCCTCGTTTCCATCCTCCTCCTTAATTAAGATCAATAAATTATCCTAATCACGATTAACTTTAATCATTTGCTTAGTACTTTTATTTTTTGTCAACATTTATCAACATTAATGATGACAAACAATTAATAGACTTAATAATTAGTGTATATAATTAATATAAATTGTTATTAAATTGAAAATGAAATAACAAAACTTTAATTTGCAATAATAATAACAAATCACGTTCACATCCTAGTGACAATTAATTTCTCACAATCAAATTAACTCAATTGTCCTGTAAAGACCATTAAACAATTTGATTTATAAACGTTTCCCTTTTCATAGGAGTGTAACAATTAACAAAGGATTAATCATAAATTTTACCTGAAAAATAATTAATCAACAATCAACCATAATAATAAAAATCAATGAAAAACCCTAATTAACAAACTGATTAAAACAATTACAATCTCAATGAGCAACAATCAAGAGATGATCATATAAATCATATGAAATAATACAACAAAAAATGTCACAATTAACCAACAAGAAACAACAACAACAACAAGATAGTAAATGTCTAATTGTTACAGAAAAAAAAACAATTAACAACAACAATCAAAGGTCTAGACCAGAACTTTTCTCAGAACTGAATTTTTTTTTATTCTATTGAACCAACCAGAACGTTAATCACCATCATGATTAGGATTACATGATGATTAGCATCATGATTATCACAATAAGCTGAACAAAATGTGAATACATATTCATATATATGCATGTTCATGAATGCGTTGAATTTAATTGTCCGCAATCATTTAGCAACAATCAAAAACAATGTAACTATTTTTTCAACTCATATAACTAAAAAATTATTATTATTATTATCTGTCTGATTGTAATTATTATTGTTAATTACAAGGCTTTTAACCTACTGATTACACTGATTATCAAGATTGACACCATTCACATGTAATACAAGGTAAACAATTAATAATCAGAGGTTTTAATTGTGGATAATAAACAATCAAAGGTATGAAAAGAAATTAACTTAACACATTAAACTTAAGTTATCATAATTATCGTAAATAAAATTTAATAGCTTCATGTACTACAAGTAATTTATTTAATTTACTTAATTTTGTATCATTGTAACTAAAAAGTAAAAACTAATTTTTCTTTGAATATAATTAACACAAAATTAAGTAGATTGTAAACTCTAAAAGTTAATTGTTGTTCCTTTCTTTCACAACATATAATATATATATTAATTATTAGATAATATCACAATTATTTATCTTGATTGTGTCAATGAGTGTGACTATTTATCCTTTCATTTTATCAACAATAATCTTATTATAATCAAGTAAATTGTTGAATGAATCAACCAGCTAATCAATTGATAATCATAATAATAGTATTAATAGTTTACTCCCATTTTGTTTCATTGTATCTCCACCCATCATATAGCCAAACAACAACTTACCTGTTGTATTATTACCTGAGTGTGTATGTGTGAGTGTTGTTGTTCATGTTGTTGTTGTGTTTATCACCTCCTTCTGATCCTCAACTCACCCTCCCTCCTCCTCATCATCTCCACCCTTTCTCACTTTCAGATTTATCCTGTATTCTTGTTATTCAGACAACAGATTATAATCCTTATCCATTCATCAGTATTTTCATATTTTCTTTCATTCATAATTTCATTTCAATTCATTGTTATCTTGATGTTACTTTTTTTTTGTCACTTTACTACTTTATCCCTCTTGTTGTTGTTGTTGTTGTTGTTGATTCCTGTACGTGCTTATCATTTGCGAGCTGCGCATGACGACCTTGGCACGTACTCTAATTATTATCATCATTATCGTCATCAATTGTTAATCATCTATAGGATATGATTAATTTTTTTTCTTTCTTTCTTTCTTTCTTTCTTTCATCTACTACTAATCATCTTTCTCTTTATCCCAATTAAATTTGAATAAATTTGATCCATTTTCCCATCTTTTTGGTTGTTTTCTTGTTGATCTATCATCATCTTCATCTTTTTCATCCTTAACCTCAACATCCTCTTAAAATTGCACTTGTCTTATTAGCCATTGGAACACGTACCAAAGTGTCATTTGTTTATACACCTGAATATCATCAAGGTGTCATCTCGTCAACAGAATTATTACTTTTTCCTCTTTTATCTCTTCTCACCATTTTGCATCTTTCATCTTCCTCTTTCTGTCTCTTTATTTTCATCTATCAACTTCCCGTTTTACCTTTGGATCTGTTAAATAAGAGAAAGAGAGATTATTATCATTATCTTATTATTCCTTTAGATTCACATGTAGACAAACAAATTAATTGTGTGATGATGATGATGATGGCGAGAGAAAGAAGAATCTTCTTGTCACCATCCTTTTCCATCATCATAATCGTCTCTCTCTCTCTCTCTCTCTCCCTGACAACGTACATTTTACTATTCACATTTGATTGTAATCAAAATAAACTTTTCCCTCATTGCTAACTAGTGAAGATGAAGATGATTATCATTTCCTTTAGACTATTCTAATTGTATCTTTAGATATACAGGTAAAAAGAAAAGGAGATGATGATAAAAAAGAAGCGTTTTTCTTTTCTGTTGACAATTTTTACGCAAATATGAATAATAAATTGTTTGAATCAAGGTGATGATAAACAAAGATAACAAAGAAAAGAGCAAAAATCTTAATATGAAAAGATGAGCATATTAATTATGATACATACGAAATTTTAATTGTAAAAGGTCATCGTGTAAGTTTCATCATTTTTCATCTTCATATTCGCCTCCCTCATGGTCAACTCTCTTCCTCCTGGTTGAGCTTTCAATTCCATATCAGCAAGTTCCATGGTTCCAATGTCCATCTCCGGTTTCATCTTCCGATTCTAAATACCTTGAGACGGAAAAAAACAATGAACTTAATGGTTGTATGATCTTTTTTTCATCAATGTAATTACAATACAGTAGCTGTTATAATGATAATCTAATTAGACTCTGTCTGTCTCTCTACTTATTAATCATATTTACCTGTTTTGTGTTTTTTTTTGTATTGTTAACTTTGAACTGAATTGGAATCTTTCTCATGAGTATATCTCCATGCATGATACAGGTAAAGATGATGTATATTCATATTTAACTATCCATGTCTTTGAATTTATCTTCAGGTTTCTTTTCATCTTTTTTTTTTGCTGTATATATTTTGCATAATAATGATTCAAATGATTACTTTGTTAGCCATTATTTGAGAACACAGTTTTGAGACCGATTAATGTTATACTTTTGTATTATCATCAAATCATCAAAATTTTGCATCAGTCTGTTGACCAGTAGATGGTAAATCTGACAGAGAGTAATTAGTAATCATCTTTTTTTCTCTTCTTCTTCTTTTTCTTCTGGCTAGTTTCCGTTTCTTTGATCAGGGTTAAAATCGGACAATTAACTGGCGAGTTGTTTGCTTTTTCCTTCGTTTTTCTCCTTTATCATTCACCTTGAATTTGTAGACAGGGAGAGAGAGAGAGAGAGAGAGAGAGAGCAAAGGAGAGTTATTTTCACTAATCAAGATTTTCTTCAGTAAAGAGAGTAAAAGAAGACAAGGAAAGTTGATAGAACATGGAAAAGTACATATGTTTTTGACTCTTAATTCCAAGTCAATGTTATCACACAGGTTTCACATCATCATCAGTCTCAAGCAAGAGATGACGGTGATGATGATGAGGGAAGGAAAGGGAAAGGCAAGGTTAAGAGACACTTAATGAACACAAATAATTACCTATCTTTGCTTTGATATTGGTTAATTAACTGATAATTATACATGTATGTCCAAAAGAAATCGTCTTCACTTGAAGCCAAACTGTATACGTAAACTATATAAACAGAATCTGTTTAACAGATGATCTCTCTCTCTCTCTTTCTCTTTCTCTTCCTGATCTTCACCTGTTGGCTTTTGTTTTTTTTATCCATAACTGATTTCCAAAGAAATGATCACCTAGACTAGAAAAAAAGAAAAGAAAAAAAACCAGAAAGATCAATAGGAAATCCACCAGAGAAATGGAAAGATTTATGTCACCTGAAGAAACTGTTGTACGAAGGATAATGTATTTCTCCTCGCTTAATGGTAACCAAAAGAGGGAAAAAAAGAAACAATCAATCTAATTGATTATAAATAGATGTTTATGTAAGGCCTGAGAGAGAATAGAAAAAAGAATAGAAGATGAAATATAATCTAAATCAATAGAAGAAAAATAAATACATGTAATCACTTCTCTCTCTCTATAAAGTGATCATTTGATTACAGATGAAAAGGGTTAGGCCTAAGAGATAGACCATAGAATTTGAATTGATTAAAGGTTATCCTGGTTATCCAAGTGATGAAACAATGATGAGAAAAGTCAAAAAACTGATGAGAATGATGAAGAAAAAAAATAGACAGACAGAGAGAGAGAGAAGAGGAAAAAAAATTAATTGATTGATCTGAGATTTTCGATTAAGCCAACAGAGGTCGCCACTAATAGAACTTTTCTCTCAACTGATTTTATTTCTTGTTCTCTTTTTTCATGAAAAGAATGAGAAAAAAAAAGTTAATGGAAGATAATTTTCATCAGATTGAAATCAATGAGGTGGGGAGAAGATAAATAAGAGTGAGAGTCGAACAGGGAAAGAGAGAGAGAGAGAGAAGATGAGGGATGAAGTTGGAGGGAAGCGAAGGGAATGAGAGAGAGAGAGAGAGAAAAGAAGATGAAAAGAAAGAGAAGATGAGAAAAGTAGAAAGAGAAAGAGGAATGAATCTCCTAGAAATTCAAGGTAATGATTAGAGTTAAATGGCCAGACAGTTTGAAATTATCCTGAATCACGTCTGAGATGATGAAGAAAAGGGTAGAAGTGGATAAGACATTGGCTTATTCTTGCCCAATGCAACCACCCCACCGACAACAATAACATTGACTGAGTAAATTGAGGTTACACATTATTGTCAATAAAAGTTTCATCAATCTTTTCGGGATAATTTTCATCATCATCATGAAATAATAATAACTTGATATTAAAGGTTAAATTTCAGGATAATCTGATGGTGGGAGGAGAGTGAGAGAGTTAGAGGGTGGAAACAGATTCTCTTTGGTGGTGATGATAAAAATTTCGCATTTTTTTTTTATTATTATTATAAATCAACAGCAGAAGCAAAAAAATTAATGATAGTTATACAACCGCCATTGAACACATTCATGCATAAACTTGATTATCATCATGATGATATAATGATATTATTGTGATTATTTTCAGGCGTAAATTGAATTGAATCCTGTTTGATAATAATAATTTCTTATCATTTGCTTTATCACTCTTTCTTTCTTTCTTTCTTTTTCTCTCTCTTTCGATGTTCCCCCTTTTTATTGAACTTTTTTCACCACATCATCATCATCCTGAGTCGATGAGATTAACAATAAATGAAAAGCAATTCTAAGGAAGAGAGAAAGTGAAACAAAAGTAAGGTCAATGAGAGAGTAAGGAAAATATGAATATGATGAATTGGATGAATGAATGAGCGAGACTATGGAGTAGACATGATGTAGACAGAAAAAGATGGTTAGAAATACGCAGACAGGATGAGGGAGAAAAATAGAGATGAAAATACCACGCCCAGAGAGAGAGAGAGAGAGAGAGAGAGAGAGAGTGGGATACAATGGATCAATAGATGATGAAGATGAAGATGAAGATGATTCTGTGACTGGCAGGATCCTGTTTCGGGTTAGGATTGTTAGTAAGCTGAAAGTTAATGAAAGCTTTGGTATTTTATCAGAGAGAGAGAGAGAGAGATGATGATGATGATGATGATGAGTGGCCAGAATTATCTGCGAGTAAACCAGAAAAAAATTCTGATGAGATTCAGGTATTCAAATTCATCATCCTGATTATGGAGATTAATTATTTTCTGATTTGATTATTTTAATTCATCTTATAATTTGATAAAAATCAATTGATTGTGATGTAGATAAAAATGATGAAAGATGAGTTTCAAAATTGGTTGATGATGATGATAATTAATTGAGTGATGAGACAGGATACTAATTATTCATGCAAGATTAAGGATCAGTATAATAGGTGAGTGATAATGATAAAAGGGGATTAGTGAAGATACTCTGAGAAGATGAGAGACTAAAACAAGAGGAGAAGAAAGAGAAAAGATAAATTCTTTTTCCATCTCTCTCTCTCTTTATCATCTTCTTGTGAAAAATTCACAGAGAAAAATAAACAGAAAATCTATAAGATGAAATAACAAGAATAACAAACTTACATGAAAATAAAAGAATTGAATTAACCAGAGAAACTGTGAAATCTTTGAATTGGGAATCAAGATTAAGAAGAAGATGAGAGAGAAAAGATTCTATTCTAAACTTGACCTTGTTCGAACATTTTCACCTTTAATTAGATGAATGCCTTTGAGAAGATGAAACAAAGAGAAAGAGAGAGAGATGAAGAGAGGGGGGAGAGAGGAGGAAGATGAGGAAATATCATTTCCATCACAATGATACAATTTAAACGTAAGAATTTAAGTTAAATATCAGAGGTTAGATACGAAATGACCAGAAAATCGGACAGATAATCGCCATGAAAGGTTATTCAAGGACATGAGATATTCCATGTGACATTTTTCTTTCTTCTTCTTTTCTTTTTCTCTTTCTTTTCTATTATTTTGTTCGAAAAGTAAAATTAAAAGTTAATGCAAAGAGAAAAACATTGAAAGTCATTTGAAAGATGAAAATGTCGACTTTGTCTTGTTAGTTTTTCGAGAGAGACGAATGTTGATTTTCGAAACTAATTTTTTTCTCTTATTAGTTTTTTTTTCTTCTCTTTCTCTCTGATAGAACAAAAATTCTTGACATGAGGATGACAAAGAAGATAAAAAGAAAACAAAGAGTAGATATAACTATTGATGAGAAGAGAGAGTAAGAGAGAGAGAGAGAGAGAGAGAGAAACTGTCAAAATTATCTGAAAGAGTATCTACTTTCCGCTTCTCTTCTGTATTATCATCATCATCATCTCCACTCTTTCTTACCACAATCTTGTGACGTTAATAAGTGTGAAGAGAAGAGAAAGAATCTAAATACAGAGAAAGAGAGAGAGAGAGAGAGAGAACTGTCAAAATTATCTGAAAGAGTATCTACTTTCCGCTTCTCTTCTGTATTATCATCATCATCATCTCCACTCTTTCTTACCACAATCTTGTGACGTTAATAAGTGTGAAGAGAAGAGAAAGAATCTAAATACAGAGAAAGAGAGAGAAGATAAATGAAGATAAGAAAGTGAGACTATTTTTGATTGACTTGAAAATCGCCAGACCAATTACTAGTTATCGCATCAGGGAAAAGGCAAAACTAGTCCAATGGACCAGATTTTGTTTTCTTCATCTTCATCCTCCTCTTCCCATCCTTACACCGTCATCATCTTTATCATCATTCTCCTTTCTTTCTCTTTCTAACCCAAACAAACAGAGATCTCCATCTTCTTGTGGATCGCCTTCAATTAACTTGTGATGAAATGTTTTCCTCATCTCGAGCCATTCATAGACTTTTTCCCACCCGTCACTCTCTCTCTCTCTCTTTGAATAACCAAAAATTTCATCATCAGTGTGAATGATTTTCACTCTGTCTCCTTGAATGAGGTAGTAAGAGTGGTAAACAAGTTGAACAACAACAACAATCAAATATTTCTGGAAGATTTTCAATTTTCACCATCAGTATTTTCAGGATGTTCATCTTGTTGTCTCGTCTTCATTTTCATGATACTTTTTTGTTTCTTCACAAGTATGATAATGTCAAATGATGACGATGATGAGTAGACAATGATGATCGTATAAATATATAAAGAAACATCATCATTATCATTTACCAAGTTTTCCTATTCTGGTTTCACCTTCATTCAGGATCGTTAACACTTTCAACGATCATATAAGATAATAAAATGATTCAAATCGTCATGATAGTGATGGTGGAGGTTGGGAGAGGGAAAACATTGTTTTTTATCATCATATTAGTGTTAGGAACCTTAATTGTCTCTCTCTCTCTCTCTCTCTCTCTCTCTCTCTCACCAGACTGTTGGAGAGAATTAAGTAAATGTGACAAGTTGCCTTATAAATGAACTTGTTTGTTAATGTTTATCTGCACTTTACCCTTGGAATCCACCGCACCCCACCCACCCCACCATCATCATCATCATCTCTCTCTCTCCATTTACTTTAGTGTCAAATGCTTTTATTTATTTTCTCTTCTTCTTCCCTGTCTGATGAGTGTTTATTTCAATCATCAAACTAATTGAGTTATATCTTGAAAAGATTATTAATGATCAAAGTACCAAAAACAACTAAATTAACTAATACATTTACCACGTTTATGTTACAATTAATACTGATAAATGACAATTGTATAAGCAAAGAAGAAAAATACAATCATCATCAGTGTAAATTGGAGGGACAACCCACATACTGAGGGTATTATACATTTCCATCAGGTAGATAATCAGGTAAGGTGTAAGAGAGGGCGAAAGAGAGTGGGGAGGTAATAAAGCTAATACATTAATTGCTGTACGTGTCTACGGTGTTTAAGAAAAGGTAAGAAACATATTAGAGAAAACGAAGAGAGAGAGAGAGAGAGAGAGAGAGAGAGAGAAAGTGGAGGTGGAGGAGGTGAGGGGGTGGATGAATTAACAGTCGCTGTTAGTCAACCATTCATGAAACTGATCAAATGGAAATTAATTTACTACTCAGAGTTGCGTGAAGTGGTTGTTCCGCTTGCAGTGAAAAAAAGACACTGTTACTAAAAACCCACCCCACACACATACAGATACAAACGTAGACACTCATGAATCTGGTGGCGATGGTGGTGGATAATCAATTGTCTCTTGGAGATGACGATTGATTATAATTGAGAGTCAAATTATCAGACACTCTGAGTGTTTGTGTATGTTGAGCGTTGTTTTTGTTGATATGATGTTTTTTTTTGCTTCTCTCGATTGTTTCAAAAGTTTACAATTAACTTTGATTATTATCGTACAACAACAATCAACAGCAAATGAAAAAACCTAAATCATTATACGGATACAATATGAGAAACAATGAGTTAATCAGTTGAATGATTAAGGAGGAGGTGGAAAAAAAAAGACAGAGTGGAAATTTTTTTCGTATCAAAAAGGGAGACAAAGGTATTAATCAAATACAATCAATGGAAGACCAATGACCTGGACAATTTAAATTATACACAATTAATCAACAACAATCATTATATTGTTGTTGATAATGAACATTGTATGTTGTGTGTGAGTGTTTCTATTAATTGTTATGCTAAAAACACTGAGTCAACATTCACCTAAATTAAATTTTCCGTATGTTAATTGTTAACATTAAACCCAGATTATCATATTAGATTATGAATGAAATGATAATCGTAA